CACAGGGATGGGGAGGACACAGGGATGGGAAGGACAGGAAGGGATGAGGAGGACATGGGGAGGCGAGGAGGACATGGGGAGGTGGGGAGGACACAGGGGACAGGGAGGATGGGGGAAATGGGAGGGACACAGGGGGCAGAGAGGACATGGGGGGATAGGGAGGACAGGGGGTAGGGGAAGACACGGGGGACGGGGAGGACAGGGAGCCGGGGAAAACACGGGGGATGGGGAGGACACAGAGGGAGAAGAGGACTAGGGGCATCTGAGCTCCTCTGGGAGGACACGCTTACCAGCTTTGTGGGCCCAAGGCCGCCATCTTCCTCTGCGTCGGAGGAGTTGGCAAGCTCCTCAGCACTGGACCAGCCGCCTTCGTCCTCGGGGCCCTCCAGGGAGTGGGACGTTTTGCTCCAGCCTGAGGGACACAGGTTCCCATAAGGGCCACGCCAAGGCCAGGGTCGCCGTTCCTCAAGTGCGGTCCATGGGCCTCACCCGTCGGTTCACACTCACTCCTGCAGTGACGGCGTTGTCCCAGCCCAGGCTGCCCACTTCCAAATCGTCCCACACGCTTGCTCCAACTGCACAGCGGTAAGGACCGGGCTGGAAGCATGTGCTCTGTGGGAGCCCCCTGCAGCACAGCACCCCTCCTGGGGCCCACACCTGCCCTGAGCTGATGCAGAAGAGCAGCGCCTTCCGTCATTGCCATGATGGCCAACACCTACCAGGCGCCCAGAGGAACAGTCTCATAAAAACACCACGTGGCCCCGGACCTGCCAGCTGTGACCGGGCCAGCATTCTTGCCGACCCCCGGCACAGACAACAGAGACCTGACCCTGCACCATTGCCTCACTCTGGTCCTGCTGTGTCAGATGGTGGTGGCAGCAGTTCCCACTTGGGGGAAGTGGAGAAAGCGGGTTCCTGCTAGTGGCTGCACTTGGGCAGAGGTGCATGCAGTTGCCACGTGAGGGAACTGTCCACCAACACCAAGCCCACCAGGGAGGCAGATGTGAACCTGGGCACATCCAACGTGGCCGTAAGCATGTGTTTCCCTAGAAGGAGGGGGTGCTGGTGCATGAGGGCCTGCCTGTGTCCCCATCCTGTGGAGCTGGGCAGCCGAAGGGTTCTGTCTCTGCCAGCACCCAGACTGAGGCCGGCCCACGGTAGAGTGGAGAGCTTCTACTACGCAGCTCTGGAAAACCCCCTCTCATCTCCCTAGGAAAGTAGGGGGCTGAGCCTTGGTGCTCCTCAGACACCAACAGGCTAGGAAAGTACACAGGTGCTGGGCAACCTGGCTCAGAGACGGTCTCTCGTGGGCCATGACTCTGAAGCACCGCTGGGGCCTTGTCTGGGAACGGGGGGAGAAGATAGACAGCCGAGCCCTGGCTCCAGCCCCGCGTGCTGGCTGCTGGGGCTGGGGTATGATGCAGCTTTGCAACTGCTAGGAAAGCTCAGGAATGAAAGCACAAGGCCAGCTCCATGAACTGGATCCTGGGGGACGGGGCAAGTGACTTGGGAAGACCCCTGGAACACAAGACAGAGGAGCCTGACTCCCAGCATGCAGCAGGGCCCCTTCAGCTTGCATGAGGGGATGGTTCTCTTGTGTATGGGAGGTCATGGGGAACTTGAGGAGGGGAGCCTTCTGTGCAGACCCCCCTGCCCTCCAGCCGGTACCCTGGGGCAGGTGAGCAGCACTCACACCCACCAGGGGGCAGCAGCGGCAAGCGGTACTGGGCCTCCAAAGGGCAGCAAGCATGGTGTCCTGGTGTCCCAGTGGCCAGTGCCTGCCCGGGGCACGAGGCTGCCAGCCACCCTGACTACTCCCAGCTCGCCCGACTGCCACCCTGGCACTAGCACGGCCCATGGCCGGCCTGGCTGATGTTCAAGACCAGCAGCATACTACCTCGTAAACCAAAGGGAGTCGGGTCGCTCTTTACTTCATGTCGCTTAGCTTTTTTGTCAGGACTGGTTGGAGAAGCTGCAGGAGGAGGAAGAGGCAAAAATACAACAGGACAGAGCAAGTGTGAGGAATGGCCAAGCAAGGAGAGGCGGCAAGTGGAATGTTTGTGAATGAATGAAATGGTCCAGGGCTTCCCAGGGGAGGGAAGAGCCCTCCTCCCCCACCCAAGAGCAGATGTGTTGGTGGACATGGCACTGGAGGTCATGACACTGGCCATCAGTCACCGTCTTAGGGGCTGCCTCGTGGACCTCTCAGCTTTACAAGAACAGTGCCGGCAGTGGGTCTTCAAGCTTTTGACTAACTTAAAAAGTATTTCACAGCCAGGAACCAGTAGCTCCTGTCTGTAATCCTAGCTAGTCAGGTGGCTGAGATCTGAAGATCATGATTTGAAGTCAGCCCAGGCAAGAAAGTTTGTGAATCACTTAAGTGGAGCTGTGGCTCAAGTGGTAGAGCACCAGCCTTGAGTGAAAAAGCTAAAACTAAGTAGTTAAAACAGAGTGCAGGCTGAGTTCAAGCTCAGTACATAATGAATAAAAAAGTACAAAATAAATTGTAGAAAACCCTCTTCCAACCAAGGCCTGCCCCACTGAGGGTCCTCATGGACCTGGTGTGTGGAGAGTGGCCTGTGCAGCATCCTGGGTCCTGAGTGGTGTGTGGAGAGCGGCCTGCGCAGCCAGGGCCCTGAGTGGTGAGTGGAGAGTGGCCTGCGCAGCCTCCGGACCCTGAGTGGTGTGTGGAGAGCGGCCTATACAACCTCCTGGGCCCTGAGTGGTGTGCGGAGAGCAGCCTGAGCAGCCTCCGGGTCCTGAGAGTGTGTGGAGAGTGGCCTGCGCAGCCTGGGCAAAGCACCCATGGTGGTGGCGGTTCCCCAAAGCTCAGAGGACACTCTGCAGGAAAGAGACTGCAGCTGGGAAGGGACCACAGGCAAAGAAGAAAGGTGGAGAGAACAGAGGAAGGGGAGGCCTCCAACCAGAAAAGCAGATGAGAACTTCTGACTGCTGCTCTTGCAAAGCTGGCCTTTTGTGTTTCCAAGAGGCACCCCTAAAAGATAACTTTAGGCATTTGACTCTCGTGGAGATGAACATCATTCAGCAAGCATGGTGTGGTGTGTGTGTGTAGGTACCTGAGCTGGTCCCCATAGGGGGTCATGGCACAAGGTACCGAGGAGGGAGTGGAGGTGGTTCAAGTACCCCATCTTTACCTTTCTGACCTTTGAGGTTACCAAAGCCCTGCAGCGTGAAGCGCTTTATGGAAAGCGCTGAGCTCTCAGAGGTGGAGCTAGAGACTGCTTCGTCTAGGAGGGAGAAGACAGAAGGCCAAGAATGTGTGGTCTGGGAGGGTGGGACAGGAGGCATGGGTGGTGTGGAGGAAGAGAGCATGTGTGGTGTGGACGCGGTGTGGAGGGAGAGGAGGAAGAGAGCATGCATGGTGTGGAGGGACAGGAGGCAGAGAGCATGGGAGGTGTGGGGTGGAGGGAGTGACAGAGGCAGAGAGTAGGTGTGGTGTGGAGGACGGGACAGAAGGCAGAGAGCATGCGTGGTGTGGAGGGACAGGAGGCAGAGAGCATGCGTGGTGTGGAGGGACAGGAGGCAGAGAGCATGGGTGGTGGGAAGGGACAGGAGGCAGAGAGCCTGTGTGGTGTGGAGGACAGGAGGCAGAGAGCATCGGTGGTGGGAAGGGACAGGAGGCAGAGAGCCTGTGTGGTGTGGAGGGACAGGAGGCAGAGAGCCTGTGTGGTGTGGAGGAACAGGAGGAAGAGCGCATGTGTGGTGTGGAGGACAGGAGGCAGAAAGCATGTGTGGAGGGAGGGAAGGAGGCACAGAACATGCGCGGTATAGGGTGGGACGGCGGGCCCTAGGAGGCTGCATGCCCTTGCCCTGGTGCACAGCGCTGCGGGAGGGCCGCCCTTGTGGCCCGGTGCAGACAGGTGCGGCCTCCCCAGGGGTCACCCACCTCTGCCCTTCTCGGGGGGCCGGGTCGGCGGCGAGCTCACATAGCCCTCCAAGCTCAGCGCATCCGTCTTCCTGTCCTCTGGCCTCCGGGTGCTCCTGCCGCTTCCTCTGCAGGGACTGGTGGCATTGGATGCCAAGAAAGGAACCACATGCAGGTTAGTTCCTCCGTGTCCCGCCCTGAGACTGCCCACCTTGCTGCCTGCGTGAAACCTTCCTGAGGCTGCCTATCTCCCTGTCTTCGTGGACCTGTCCCGAGGTGGCTGTGGCACTACCTGCAAGGACCCACCCCGAGATGGCCATGGACCTGCCTGCATGGACCCGGAGGCTGCCCATTGCACTGCCTGCGTGGGCCTGCCCACATAGCCACATGGAAGGAAGCCCCGTCCCTGCCTATCAAATAGGAGGCAGCAGCAGGTGTCTCTTTTAAAATTACTCCTATGCAAAGGAGCCCAAAACATTTGGTGGGAAAAAGGCTGCCTCTTCAATAATTGGTGTTGGGAAAACTGGACATCCACATGTAGAAAACTAAAAGCAGATCCCTGTTTGTCGCCATGCACTAAAATCAACTCCAAGAGGATCAAAGACCTCAGTGTCAGACTGGAAACTTGAAACTTCGAAATTACTGCAAGATGGAGTAGGAGAAACACTAAAACTCATAGTCATAGGCAGAAACTTTTTGAAAAAATTCTCAGGGGCACAGCAGATAGGAGAGAGACTTGACAAATGGGATTCATCAAAATATAAAGTTTCTGCACAACGAAGGACACAGTTACTAAACTATAAGGACAGCCAACAAACTGGGAGAAGATCTTCACCAGCAATATATCTGACAAAGCTTAATATCCGAAATACACAAGGAGCTCAAGAAACTAACCGTTTCCAAAGCTAATAAAACCAATTACAAAATGGACAACGGAACTAAAGAGACTTCTCAGAAGAAGAGGTAAGACCTCTGGTCCTCAGCTCCAACTAGACCTGAGCTCCTCCCTGCTCTACAGTTCCTGCCATACAGCTGGCCCCTCCCTCTTTGCCCAGACCCACCTTGCACACACCTACCTCACTTTTGCCCTCACTTCCTCCTCCAGACCACCTACCACCTGGATGGGACAGACACTATGTGCTCCCTCTCCTGGAGGAATATGGTCCCTCTGATAAACCTTATGTAATGTTTCTCCTGTGTCTGCCTGTCTCTGCATGGTCCCCTGGGATGGTCATGAAGGATTCTTACATTTGGTGCCAAAACCTGGGATAGGTCCCTCCCTCTCCCACTTTGGATGGGGGTCTGACCAGCAGCCCTGGGACCTAGCCTGCAGTTCTACAATGCCTTTGCCAAAGGTGGGGATAATACTAACAACTGGCAAATAAACACATGAGGAAATGCCTACTGACTCTGGCCATAAAGGAAGTGCAAATCCAAACAACTCTGAGATTCCATCTAGCCCCAGTTAGATTGGCCAACATCATGAACTCAAACAATGAATGCTGGTGGGGATGTGGGGGGGGAAAGAAACTCTATTTCACTGTTAGTGTGAATGTAAACTACTAAAACCACTTTGGATGGCAGTTTGGAGGTTCCCCAAAAAACTAAACACAGAACTTTCCTATGACCCAGCCATACCACTCCTGGACATCTACCCAGAACATCACAAGCCAAAAAATGGTAAATACACTTGCACATCCATGTTCACTACTGCACTATTTACAATAGCCAAGTTCCAGAAACAGCCCAGATGCCCTACAAAAGATGCTAGGATCAATAAAATATTGCACCTATACACAATGGAATTTTACCCATCCATTAGTAAAAGTAAGATTACATCATTTGCAAGGAAACAGATGGACCTAGAACAAATCATGTTAAGTGAGGTATGCCAGGCTCAGAGAGACAAATGTTGCATGTTTTATCTCATATGTGGAAGTTAGATCTAAAATACAACTAGATATGATAATGTATCCAGGACTCTAGGAATTCACACACAAAACATCAGACTAAAGAAGGATGCTCTTAGGGGTGGAACCTAAAGGTATAATTACTCTGGACATTTAAAATACTGTCATGGTTCAAAGCCAACCAGGGCAAGAAAGTCTGTGAGACTCATCTCCAATTAATCACAAAGAAGACAGAAGTGGAACTGTAGCTCAAGTGGTAGAACACTAGCCTTGAGCAAAAAAGCTCAGGGACAGGGACCAGGCCCTGAGTTCAAGTTCAAGCCCCAGGATCAGCACAAAAAACTACTGAAAAAAAAGCATCTATTGAAATGAACTCCAAGAAATGGAAATATGGGTGTTTTGTTGCTATTGGTGGTGGTGGTGGTAGTGATAGTGATGGTGGTGGTAATGGTGGTGGTGGTGATGGTGATGGTGTTTGTTTTTGCTTTGGGGATGTTTTTGTTGTAGGGGGATAAAGGGGGGGCACAGAAAGGGAGAGAGGGAGGGTAAACAAATGCTGTCATGTTATTCAGTGTGTGTGTGTGTGTGTGTGTGTGTGTGTGTGTGTGTGTGTGTGTGTATGTACTGTAACTCTCAGATCTCAGCCTCCTGAGTAGCTAGGCTTACAGGCATAAGATAGACTTACTCAGTATAAATGGTGTGGAAAATAACTTTTAGTCAAGGATGGGAGGAGGAAACTGGGGGGAAGCAAAGGAAGGGACAACATTGTCTAAGGAATTATACTCATTACCCAACTTATTAAATGGTAATCTGTTTGTACAACACCTTAATTTAAAAATATTATATAAATATACAAGTAACTAACTGTCCGATGGCCCATGGATGCTTCAACTTGATTAAAGAAATGGGAGGGGAAAAGGAAAATAAAATAACAAAGGAAACAAAATAAGAAATGAAAACCCAGGGGTAGACAAGTTACCAGGAAGCCATGTCTGCCGGTGAACAAGTACTAGCCTCAGACCTGGAGTCAGGCGCCCGTGTTTAGTGCCAGCACCTGTCCTAGGTTCATTTATCACCCAGTGTTGAGACCCAGGTCTCCTGGAGGTGCCCCTGGCCTGTGCCAACTGTGAGAGATGGTCGGAAACCCATGAAGAGCCAGGACCAGTGCTTGCAGGCAGAGCACCAGAGATGGTGTCTTTGGGACTAACTGAGAATGAGAACCAGCAGGTGAGGTCCAGATATTACGGGGTCCTGGGCAAACTCACCCCAACACAGGAGGTACATGACCATAGGGAGCAAACTGCATATGCAGAAGTCCTGCTCTTCTTTTTTTTTTTGAAACAAGGACTTTCTGTGTAGCCTGGCTGGCCTTGAACCTGTATTCCTCCTGCCTCAGCCCTCTTCAGTGCATGTGCCACCATGCCAGACTAGAAGCCCTGCTTCCTTGAGCCCTGGGCACGCATCTGGTGCTTACCTGGTACTGGCTGGTGCAGGCAGAGGTAGGCTGTGGGACTGCTCCAGGGCCCTGTGCTGGCTGGCTTCTGTGGGAGGGGACACGTTGGGTTGAGTGTGTCGCCCATGCTTTTGAGTGTTAGAGAAAACCACAGTGGAAGGCAGCCTCACCTCTGCAGGCCTGCAGCTGGCTGGTCAGCACTTTCCGGATTTCACTCACCCAAGCTGCTTTAATTTCAGGAGTGGGTGCCTGTTCCCCAAAGAAAGTTGGTGTCAGCACAGGGTTAGAACTCAGGCCCTGTGAACCTGACTCTTGTCTTGACGTGCTAGGACCACCGGATGGACCAGCACATCAGGCATGTGGGAGGCGGGGGGGGAAGCAGGCCTGTGTGTGTCCACCCTGCTGTGGTACGGGATGGATGGTGCAGCTATCAGGGGCAGAGGGCCATGAGGGGGAGTGGCAGCCTGCAGGGGCTGTGGCCGCTGGGCATGTGGAGGGAACTCTGTGCACAGATGACCTCAGAGTGGTTGTGAGGACAATGACAAGTGTGAAACCCACAGGTGGATGGCGGGGCCGCTCGACTGGCGCCAGCTGTGCCCAGGGACTAATATTTTGTCTCAAGAAAGAAGAGGCTCTCTGCCTTAGGTGCTGCAGGTTAACATCAGGCTGCCAAGGAGCCAAGCCTGGCAGCCACCCTGGTGCCGCCCAGGGCCAGAGCGGGGCCCTGTCTGGCTTCTGCTCTGTGGGGCTGCCGCATTGGACAACAGGATGGGACTGTGACGCTGCTGTGGCAGTGTCTTGGCTGGCGAGAGTCCTCATGTGTTAGAATCAGAACTAGAAGCCCCTGCCTGGACGTGGCTCAGTCCCTGGCAGAGCTCCTGCAAAGGGTGCTGTCTTGAGTCCACCCACTAGCTGTATCCTCCCCATCAGGGAGCCAGGTCTGCAGAGTGGCAGGAGGGACCTTCCTGCTCCTGGGACTGCATCCCCAGTACCTGGGTCTGAACTTGCTCCCCAAGGCCATCTTGGACCAGCTCCTGCCCCTCAGCAATGAACCACAGAGTTCTGAATGGAGTTTCAGCCACTTAGGCAAGGCCCAAGAGTTCCCGACCCCTGGCCTGTGGGATGGCCTGAGCCCCGCCGGATGATCTGGACACAGACCAGCACCTACCTGGATGATGTAGACCTCTTCTCGCGCATTGTACCAGATCTCAAACTTCTTTGCGTCGCCTTTCACATTCTCTGTGATGCCAACGGCCGTCATCTGTCAAGAGCAGAACCAGACAGGCAATAGCATTATCAACCTCCTGCCTCATCCAGAGAAGATGAAGTATTTGGGGAGTGGGAGGGAAAGATGGCAGGACCCCCTCAACGCCCATGCGCGCAGAGGGGAGCTGGGTGTCCATGCCCCTTGGAATCTGCTGGAACAGGGTCTGGCCACGGATTTCACCGCAGGCCAGTGGGCAGAGCCACACTGCTCTGGCCACATGCGCTTACGTTCAAGGACTGCTTGTAGCTGTAGGATGGGGCCTTCTCGTAGCCTTCGCCACTTTCCTCCCTCTTCTTGCAGAAGAGCACGGCCTTCTCATGCAGGAACAGGTGTCTCTGCATGGGCTTGAACCGGGCCAGCTCCTTCACCTTGGTGTGCCCCTTCTTGTGGTCGGTCCACACGCTGAAGGAGCCCTGCATGAGCAGCTTACCCAGGTCGCTGAGGTTTCCCTGCAATACTTGGATACTCAGCACACACACACGCTGCTCTTCCCCACTTCATCTTCTAGAAACCCAAAACTGACCCCTCTGCTCTCTGGGGATGCCTGCTGGTCATCAGGGACAGACAGGACCTGAGGGGGTGGATGATACTGGGGCTGGAGAGGCCATGCCCCCACAGAGACACCCCATGCAGCTGGCACCTTCATGGTTGATCTGGGTGCTTGCTCAGTTCCACCCGGGCCTCCTGGCTCAGAACCTGGGTCTTCCCTAGGCCCAGGGTGATGTGTGTTCACATCAAGGCCTAGGAGCTCAGATGGAGCAAGGAGCACCCAGTGGGCTGCGTCCTCGGCATCCCAGCCCGGCCCCTTACGTCATAGCCGGTGATGGCGATGAGGTGCATGGAGTCGTTCACGGCTTTGAGGATGCCCAGGATGGAGCTCAGCGCCTCCTGCAGGTCTGCGGCTCCCTCACAGTTCTTGCTGTATTTCAGCATCTCCTAAGGGTGTGTGTGGGGAGGCCGGAGGACGTGTTCACACATGGAGACAGCCAGCTCTCAGAAGCACAGACCCATGCCTGCCCTCATGATGGGCGTCTTGGGAGCTGGGCCAGAGCACCACACTCCGCAGCTCCCCAGTGAACTGCCCGCCTCAAGGCTCAACAAGGGCGAGCCCTGGCCTCCACCTCCTCTTATGACCAGGGCCAAAGACATAGCCACGACTGTTTCCTGCCATGCAGGGCAAACTCGTACCTCCCTGTTCTCCGCTCCCACTGGGCTGTGGGCTGGCAGGTGGAAGGGCACAGGCCTGTCTTGAATCGGGGGACGCAGGGTCCTGTCTGCACAAAACCCTGGTGTGGGATGAGCCCAGGGATCTCTTTGGCTGCTCATCTTCGGGTTCCCCCCACACTACCTAGTCTAGCACATAGGTCTCACGGGTGTCAGAATGGGCCAGGGCAGAGCAGCTGAGGGAAATCCCCAGGCCTGCGTGTAGTGTGGGAGCAGCTGCAAATGCCTGCCCACAGGTGGGGGCTGCTGGGGCGGGGCCCACCTTGAGCAGCAGCTGGTACTTGGTTATTCTCTGCACAGGCTTCAGCAGGTAGGAGTCCAGGCTCAGCTTGTGGTCCAGCTTCTTCTGGCACTCCTGGAACCGCCAAGCATCTGAGGTTAGGCAAGGCCCCAGCTTCTGTCTGAGAAGGCTTGTCAGGCAGGGCCGAGCCTTACCTGGAAGAAGGGGCAGTCGGAGCACTGTCTCCACAGGCTCTCAGAGCGTGGTTTGTTCTGACAGTATTTCTCATAGATCTGGAAGTCTTCCATCTGCGGCAGGAGGAAGGAGTGGAAGAGACATGGCTCCCAGCCAGACCCTTCTGCTTATCAGTGGAGAGCTCCTGCTCCCTATTGACCATCTCAGATCACAGGCCTGGGTGGCCAAGTGGTGATGGTGCTCTGGGTTCTGCCACATCCTGTTCTTCAGTAGCATGCATCTATCTATCATCTATCTGTCTATCACCTATTATTATCTATCATGTATCTATTATTTATCTGTTATCTATCAACTATCTATCATTTATCATCTATCTATTGTTTATTATCTATCACCTATTACTTATCTATTATCTATCTATCTATATATATATCTTTATCAGACAGTCCATCAATCAATCACAGCATCTATCCTTCAGTAGCCAGCTATGTTTATTAGCATTCTCTGTCTGGTTATTTACACACAGTTCTAGGGTCTTCTCAGGCAGTTTGGAAACTGATACAAGTGTTTTTATAACAAGCACACCTGAGCCCTGTGTGAAATAGAACTGCCGTGGCTCACTGGACTAGGCTGGAGATGGCTGCAGGACAGCATCAGGGTCTATCTTTCTTTAAGACCATCTTGGTTTAAGGGTTCAGGTAACTCTAGGGGTACTGATAGCCACAGAACACAGGGGCTTTGGGACACAGACAGTTTTGGGGTGGAGATGGCTCCAGGGCAGGGACAGCTCAGGTGATGCCTCAAATATCGCTCACCCTGCCCAGCTTCAGCAAGAATGCCAGGCTGCGTCCCTAGAGTTTCTGTCCTCCCCTGACGCAGGCCACCCTGGCTTGCCCACCTTCCCGAGTCTTCCCTGACATAGTCCATCCTGGCCTGCCGACCTCCCGAGTCCTCCCTGAAAACAGTCCACCCTAGCCTGCCCCCCCTTCCTGAGTCCTCCCTGACACAGTCCACCCTGGCCTGCCCCGCTTCCTCCCTGACACGGAGCCTCCAGGCCTCCCCGACCTCCCTGGTGAGCACCTTGTCCACACGCCTTGAGGGACAGTTGTGCAGCCGAGGAGCCACAGCAGCAGCACTAGGGCGGGGAGGGGCAGCTCATGTCCACCACCGTCCCTGCCCTTCCTGCTGCGCAGCTCAGCGCCCATCCGTGCCTCCTGCCACAGGGAGCTTCCGAGGACACCTGAAAACCGGCTCAGATGGTGGCGTTCCCCCCAAAACGAGGGACTGCGGCCCCTCCAGGTTTGGCCTGCTGGGTGGGCGTGGCACTGTGAAGGATGCACCGCTGAGAGCTCTGCGTGGCTGACCAGAGCACCTGCACTGCTGAGAGGTTCCCGGGGCACCACCGCGAGTGAGGTGACCCTGGCCCCAGAACAGTGCCCCTGAAGTCTCTTTTGTCTGAGCTGGGACAAATACGGCTCCTCCTCCTGCTTCCTCTCTCAGTGCCAATCCCAGACAACCTCAGCCTCCCATTCTTTATTTCCTGAAATCGCTCTGGTCTCCTACGTGAGCTTCCTTCCCACACTGCTGAACTAGCAGCTCCTGCACGCCACCTGATGGCGTCCTCTGGGTCTGGGAGGGCACCAGCAACTTGTCCAGTGTCATCGAACAAGTGAGGAGTCTGAGCCAGGGCCAGACCCAAATACAAACAGCACCATCCTGTGTGGGAAAGTCCCACTGCCTCTCTAACTTGCAGCCGGCCTTGACTTCAGTATCCCCAAAGTGTGTGTTTTATGGGTTTTCTCTTTTTTTTTCTTAAATTTCCGGTCATGGGGCCTGAACTCTGGGCCTGGGCGCTGAAAGCTAGTTATTAATCTTCAAAACTTTTCTTTGCCCTCCCCCAAACTTGGAGGCCTTCTGGGGGCCAGGGGGCACTAGTGCTTGGTACTTTGGGGCTGGGAACTGCTATGGAAATTGGAGTCACAGACAGGGACTGAGTAGTCTGGGGAGCGGCGTGGTGCGTGCCGATGTGGTGGTACATACCCGCTCCAGGAAGCACCTCCCCACCAGCTCCGGGCAGTCCATGCAGCTCTCCAGCTCCCGCAGGAAGATCCTAAGCAGAGGGGCACGTGCTCAAGACGCACAGATGTGGTGACCATTTTCCAGGGGACATCATGCTTTGACCCATAATGTCACCCACACCATCCTGTGCTATGTCCCTGCTTCCGACCCAGTGTGCACACAGAAGCTGGAGCTGTGTCTGGGTGGGTGCAGCAGCACAGATGTGAGCTGTGAAGAGCTCTGCAGGCCTGGCATGGACGGGCGGGCACGGGTGGCACTAGCCCCAGTGCAGGGCTGATTCTGCTCTCAACACCCGGCTTGTGTTCATCTCCTGGGAAGAAGCCTCAGAGAGGAAGCAACTGTGGGCCGTTCTGCATGGGAGCAGTGCAGCTTTGAGCTGTGGGGCCACACCCTGGTTGCATGAGAAAGTTCTGGAACCCTCAGGAAGTGTGTAGCCCTGCAGGGCCAGTGATGGGCAGCATCTTTCTTGGTGAGAAACGGTGAGGCAGAGGAGGGGTGGCGGAGGCCAGGGTTCCAGGGCCCAGTCCCCATGGCAGTGCTGTGGATGGGGTCTGCTCGTGCCAGGCCTCTTTGGGACAGGGGTGCAAACGTCCACTGTCCGCCTCCCCCAAACCTGTGTGGAATGTCTACCAGCTCATCTGTACTCCAGCAAGCAAGCACCTGCTCATTAGGTTACAGCCACAAAATAGCAAAGTGGAGCCATGGGTCAGCATGCCAGTGGATGGCTATGCCATCCAACAACAAAGCCACAGAGAGGCCACTCCTGTTCTCTGGGGACAGACAGCCTTTTAGCTCTCCTAAGAGTGACAGGAAGGCACACCTGTTCACCATCCTTTTTAAGAATGAGCCCAAGTGGTAATGTGACCTTCAGGTCCCCAGTGCCAAAGCTTAACCTTGGGGGTGGGGGAGGACAGCTCGGGGGCTAGCCAGCCTGTCCTGCTTTCCTGCACCCCAATCCCAGGCCTGCTGCTCTGAGCATATCCTGGGCGACTGTCAGCCACGCACAGCCAGGGCCTACAGGTGGGTAAAGGACCAGACGGTGTGTGCCGAGGGCAGTGTGCACCAAGGGTGATCCACCTGTTATGGAAGTGGTAGATCTCCTCCATGTTCCCAAACAAAACATCCTTCTTGCTGTGCAGACCGGTGGAGATGAGATGAGCCATCAGGGGGTTGTCCATCTCTGCGGCGTAGCCCTGCAGGGAGAGGATGGGTCAGCCCGGACAGCCCAGGCCTCAGGCCGCAGCTGGGCAGTGCTGGCTCTGGGTTGCTCAATGTTGACGGGCCAGTCCAGGGCAGAGCACTGAGCTGGCACGACTGCTCTCAGCTTGCTTCTCAACACCACAAACGTGAATGAACTAACCAAGCAGCTCCACTCCTAATCATTGGCAATTGTCTCTCAAGCAGTTCATCTGGACAAAGCTGTACACGGGCATTATGCACAGCAGCTGGTGTGGGTGCTACTGGTGGAAGCTTATCTCTTTTACCACACTCCCGCCTGCATTCAAGACCAGCTGCAGCTGTTCGCCCCAGTGCACCACGGGGAGCATTCAGCACCTCTACCCCTGCCTCATTCTGGAAGCCTCCATACACATCTCATCATGCTAGTGAAGGTCAGGTGTTCCTGTTCCCTGTGCAGACCTTGCATTCCACCCCCCTCCCACACCTTCCCGCCTGAAGGACATGGTGCTACCAATGGGACCCCTGGGAACAAGGCACGTGCTTTGTGTGTATACACATGAGCCCTCGTTTTTGAAAGGAGTTTCAAAATGAAGCTACAGAGCAAGGGTGATGTGGGTTTCCTCCCTTCCTCCCCAATCCCCTCGTGTCCAGCCTCCCCTTCCCCTCCTCCTTCCCCCCTGTCCTGTCCAGCCTCACCTCCAGAACGCAGAGCAGCTCCTCCACATAGGCCCGCTCTGTGTCCAGGAGTTCGTTCATCACGTGTCTATGGACGGGCATGGAGAGCCACAAGGGTTAGAGCAGGAAGGGCAGCAGGAATAACTGGGTCTCTGGTCTTACGTGTGGACCAAGAAACACGGTGGTATGCTTAAGAGGACTTGCTCAGGGAAAGATAAAAGGGGAAGTGGAGTTCAAGGGTGCACACGCCCTGACTGCCCTTCCCACCTGCCCCTCGCCCCTCGGGACGGTGGCTGGCCAGCTCTACAACCTTCTAGAAGGGATCCAACTCACTCCAGCCTTCTGGCCCCATGCGCACACAGCCAGCCCTCCAGCTCCACCCGTGTGCATGTGCATGAGGGTCAGTCAGCTCTCCGTCTGCTCGCATACGTGGGTCAATCGGCTCTCTGCAGGCTCCTCTACCAGCAGACCCTGGCCCTCCCCACACTGAGTCTTCTGGCCCTCCCAGGCCAGCCACACGCAGTGTGGCTCCGCAGCTCGGCCTCAGCCCCACCCCTGGGCCTGCACCACGCACTCCGCTCCTGCACGGGCCACCATCGGGGCTACAGATCCATTGGCCATTCAGACTTTCTTCCCACATGGGCCTCCTGCGAGGCACCCGAATTAAATTCATGACAGCAGGAGCAGGTGGGGCTCCTGGACTGGGGCTTGCATGGGTCAGTCTAACTATCAGCATGCACGGCATGTCCAGGTCCTGGTGTGGACAAGGTGGGCAGGGGTGGACGGTTCAGGGGCTTGCCCCTCCTGCCGCACCCCGGACAACCAGAAGGGAGGCCACCCTCTGAGCCACAGGACCCAGTCGTCTGCTCTGCCGGGAAGCTTCCCCCATGCCCTCCCTCCTCCGCCTCTGCCTCCTCAGCTTCCTTCAGAAGCTAGAGGGTCAGGATCTGCTCATCAACAAGCGGGGTTATTTTACTGACTCTAGAATTCGCTCTGTCCACAGATTCCTGCAGAGGCTCAGGGAAGGGGGCTGCCTGTGCACCGGCTTGCTCAAATGCTTCCAAAACCTCTCCCCAGCAGCCAGAGGGATCTACTTGCGTTCCCTGTGGTGGAGGCCTTCAGAGAAAACATGAAGGACAGAAGCCATCCAGGGACCAACAGACACACATGTCAGCCATGGTGTCTGTCACACACACACACACACACACACATCATCCACAGTGTCAACTACCTTGAGACATCCTCCCAGACTAGCGCAAGCCCCCCATCCCCTGCTGCTCTGTTTTTTCCAGTTTGCACATCCTGAGCTTGTGTTGCCTGCCTGGATCAGCAAGGCCTTTCTTTCTCCCAGGTCAGGGGTCAAAGAAGGAGCTGCTTTTCAGTTTGCATGAGGCTCCCTGAGTCTAAGGACCCAGCACTGCGGGGAAACCGAAGAGCTTAAGCAGACCCGACCAGCGACTCGGTAGCTGAGTCCCGCTGGCCGTGTGAAACGGCATGCACTCAGTGACCTTCAGGTGCCCTTGTGAAGTGGGGGAGGGTGGCAGCCTGGGTAAGGGCCCTGGATCTGGCCAAGCCCAGCTGTGCGGAGAGGCACATCGGCCCCTAAGGTGGTGTGCTCAGTCAGCTCCAGCCTCCTTCCCGCTCTGCCCGTCAGGATGGAAGTGCATGGCTCACCAACACCCAGACACTGTCAGCCAGAGCTGAGCACAGCCTGGACACTGGGGGGAGAGGGGGGAGGTAAGGGAGAGGGAAGTGGGGAGGGGGACAGCCACACACCTGCGCAGGACAGCCAGACTCTCATCCTCGTCCCCCGTGGAACTGGCCCTGCCTGGCCGGGTCTCACTCATTTCACTCTGAGAAGAGAACAGCAGTGCTTATTTTGAAATCGGGGAGAAGCAGCCTCAAAGGCTAGCTCTCCCCACCAGACCCGGCCCCGTCCCCATCTGAGGGCCAGTCTCCGAGGAAGGATGGACCCACAGGTCAGGAAGTGGCCACTCGAGGAGGGCTAAGAAGCCTTGGCTGTGCCACCCAGATGGGCTACGTGGCTCATGCTGCCCCTGCCTCACCTTGGCCCTCCGGTAGGGGCCCCTCCGGACCACACTGCCCTCAGAGCTCGTATTCTCGGATCCCCGCCAGGTGCCTGTGGTGGACAGTGGGGGGAGGAGGCATTAGCTCTTCCTGGAGGGGGAAACATGCCCAGTGGGGAAAAAAGGAAAAGGCCTGTGGATGAAAGGACGGGAATGGAGAAGGTGGATGGGGGCGTGAGGGAGTGGAGGGAGTGGAGGGATGGAGAGCTGCCCAAGAAAGCTAGGGACCATCCCACAGCCCCTGGGCGGGGCAGGATGGGCCTGAATGAAACTGCAGGCAGAGGGAGGGGCCGAGGCAAAAACTGGCTGGTGAGAGGGAGGGAATGGTGGGAACAGGGCAGGCAGGCGGGAAGGTCCCTGGGCGACCCCTGGGGGCTCCACATGGGTCAGGAAGCATTCTCCTCTTAACCCAACATGCAGGAAGGCAGAGCCTGGTTCTCCAGGCACTCAGTCCTTGTGTTGGACATTTGCCAAGGCCCTGAGGCCCACAGGAGACCCCACCCCATGCCCCCTCATCTCTGTCCCTGTGACAGAGCCAAGCAAGGAAGGAAAGGAAATGCTCTGGCAGCAGGAGATGGAGTTTCAGAAGATGGAGCAGTTTCTGCCGTGGCAGTGGAGGAGAGCTTCTGGGGAGAACCTGGCTGGGGAACAGGGCTGGGAAGGTCCGCAGCCAGTGGGGTCCCATGGTAGGGCCCAGGACATGGTGTCCTGGGTCGGGAATGGCTAGAGGGCTGGAGCAGTCAGAGCAGAGTGAGGGGGTGCTGCTTTGGTAACAGTGGGCAGTGGGTACTGGGCAGAAGGGAAGGGGAGACAACCCGAGGAACTTTCCTTGGTGGACCACCAGCATGCCCAGCTTTGTGGGACTCAGGCAGGGACGAAGCACTCTGCTATAGGTGCAGGCCTCAGATAAAGAGGCACAAAGCAGTTCTCTGGAGGCTTGTTGTTTAAAACAGGGTGGGGCCGGGCGCAGGTGGCTCAGGCTTGTCATCCTAGCACCTCAGGAGGCTGAGATCTGGGGATCTCGGTTCAAAGCCAGCCTGGGGAAGTACGTCCGAGAGACTCTTATGGCCAATAAACCACTCAGAAAACTGGAAGTGGTGATGTGGCTCAAGTGGTAGAGCGCTGGCCTTGAGCTGAGGGACAGTACCCAGGCCCAGGGTTCAAGCCTCAAGACTGACAAAATAAATAAATAAATAAATAAAAAGGGTGGGGCTAAGACCGGATGAACCCTGGGCTGCAGACTGCTGGCCCCGGAGGAGGCCCAGATGAGAAGAGGGGAAGGCCATGAGGGATTGGACGAACACGCATGGGGCTTCTGAGGCTGCCCCAGCTCAAGGACCCCAAGCGGGATGAGGCAGCGGCACCAACCTGGGGAGGGGCAGGGCGACTTGGTGAGTGCTTCCGGCCTGGGGGCCACGGGCTGCACAGGCCGCGTCTGCTTGGCCGCCAGCTTCTTTAGGCTGGCCTGTCTGCGGTGAAACATGTCCTGCATGCTCTCCTGCTTCTGAATGACCTTTTGCACGTGTTCCTGGAACGACACAGCTGCTGAGGCATCTTATAGAGGTGGGTGTCGGTCGTTAAACCAATCCTGAGGCAGGATGGGCCTCACTGTGCCTGGCCTCCCCACCCAAAGGCTCCCAGGCAGCATCCATCTTGGGCCTGGGGCAGGGAGCAGCTGTGGGAGGTGCAGAGCTCCCTCCTGCTGGCCTGGAGGGGGGCTGGGGCCGGCAGATGGAGGTGGGGAGTCCGGCTTTGGTGGACTACCAGAATGTGTGAATGCCACCCTTGGCACAAGGTGGCCACAGGGGGTGTCTAGAAGCTGTAGGAGACCCCTGTGCTGGTGGATGGGTGCAGCGGGGAGGCCTAGCCTCTTTCACCTTCCTCCTCTTCTGCACCCCCAGCATGCCCTGTCTGTGGCCTTTCACTAAAAGATTCCTCCCGACACCCCACAAGGTAACTTCCCGCCGCCAGGACTCTGGGCTTAAGAAGGGATGCTCGGGTCCAATTACCATTAGGTCCTGGTTGAGGATAGATTCATAGTCTTTGTAAATTTTATTGAGCTCTTGGATCTTATTTTCTGCACCAGTCTCTAGAAACTTCTCGATCTCCTGGAGAGCTGCCTCGGCACCATCCTGGGACTGGCATTTATCCACGGGCTGCGAGGCCAGCAGGTAGATGCCCTCATCGCACCACTTCATGGACTGGGAACAAAGCATCACCATGAGAGTTTGCGCCTGGCCGTCTCCCCTGTGGCGCCCCACCCCCTGCGTCCCGTGTATCTGCTGATGGAGCTCAGCCATGGAGGCCGGAGGATACAGAGTCCAACAGACACCCCGGGCTGGACCTGCCCTGCAGGCGGGCAGGGCCCTGTGTGAGTGAACAGCAGACTGAGTTCCTGGGCCATGAGCCCTATGGGCTGGTACTGTGCAGACACCCACAATGGTGAGGAAAGGAAGGGGTGCACCGAGTCTTCAAGCAATAACCAATCAGCCAGTGAGGAGGTCACTGGGCCAGAAGGGACTCAGGGGCAGGTTCCTCTCATTAGTGGGGGGGGGACAGGTGTGCAGTCAGTGGGTGGACAGGTGTGCGGCCAGCAGGTGGACATGTCTGAGGTCAGTGAGTGGACAGGTTTGCAGGCAGTAGGTGGGCAGATGTGTGGGCAGCAGGTGGATGGGTTTGCAGGCAGCAGGTTGACAGGTGCGGTCAGTGGGTGGACAGGTATGTGGACAGCAGGTGGACTGGTCTGAGGTCAGCGAGTGGAGAGGTATGTGGGGAGCAGGTGGACAGATGTTCAGGCAGCGGGTGAAGAGATGAGATCAGCAGGTGGACAGGTGTGCGGATAGCGGGTAGACACATGAGGTCAGTGGGTGGACAGGTGTGTGGGCAGCGGGCAAACAGGTGTGTTGGCAGTGGGTGGACAGGTGGGAGGTCAGTGGGTGGACAGGTGTGCGGGCAGGCCCCTACCATCTCCAGGAGGCTGTGCAGCTCCAGGGACTTGCTCAGCAGCTCTCTCCTCCTGCTGATCTCGGCGGCAAAGTGGTCGCAGAGGTGCTGAAGCTCCTGGCACTTGGGCTGAATGGAGTCCACGGCGTAGTGCTTGTTCTCAATGAGCTGCTGGCCCTCAAGGGACAGAGCTCGGGCCCTGTCCACAGCCGCCTGCAAGACACAGCCACCCACAGAAAGGTCAGCACGGCTCACTTTGGCCCACCCCCGAGGGATTCCTGTCCCAGAGCTGGGGCCACCAAATCCTGGAGCCACCTTAGGGCCAAGGCCCCGGGCGGCCTGGCCTTGAGGAGCACTGTTCTTGCAAATCAGTTGATACTTTACGTGCATGGAAGAGGAACTACGGACTGCAGGGCACGTGCCTGGGGTGTGCGTGGACCCGGGGGGGGGGCGCCTGCCTGCGACACACCTTGGCGGCCCTGGGGACCTCTGATCAGGTGGCTGACAGCAGGGGGTACAGGGCCCTCTGGTGATGGCTTGGCGCTAGCCCTCCACCCACAAACCCCTCTCACACTGGACTTGGCCTCGAAGCTGTCCAGGTCCTTCACCAGGTGGTGCACATGTGCCAGGCTGTTGCCAACGTCGGTGAAGGTGGCTATCTTCTGGGACACTGTGTCCAAGGCAGCTTTGACCTGCAGTGGAGGAAGGGCATCTCAGAACCTCCACGCCTGGCACAGGACGCCCAGGCTGAGCACAGAGGAGGCAGCCTGCAAAGGGAGGAGGCGCTGGGGAGCACACTGGGCCGAGAACCCAGGCATGGGCCCGGCCTCAGACCCCTGACGCCCACTCTTCTCTGTCCAGCCTGCCACTGTGCTGGAGGGACGTGGTGGGCCGCACCCAGGGCCGGCCCGTCCCCTCTGTTGGGGGCAGCAGAGGGCTCACTTCCTCTGGGATGGAAAAATCTCTCATGTCTCATAGTTCTGGTACCCAAAGGAAGACAAGTTTTCATCGTATAGATGTTGTGCTCGAAGTGAAATTATGCCAACATGGCTCTAAAGGCACGCAGAAGAATTAGATACAGATGCACGTCGTAGGCACTCAGTAATTGATGCTGTCCATCTGGGAAGTATGGAATGGTATGCAGGACAACTGCACAAGAAAGAGCCGCACAAGACCAAACTCCAACACCACAAACGAAATTCCAGAAAATGACTAGGCGACCCCAGGAAAGCAGGAAAAAGGAAACAAAAAAAGCAGAAACACCACAAACAGAAAATATAAAACCAGGAGACCATCTTAAGTCCTCATGGACCTGTAAGTGCTCTGACTGTGAGCCACGGAATCCACTAGAGCTCTGACTGAGCCACGGAACCCACCACTTCTCTGACTGAGAGCCACGGAATCCACCTGTAATACCTGGCCATGAGCCACAGAATCCACTTGTGCTCTGATCGTGGGCCATGGAATCCACCAGCACTCTGACTGTGAGCCATGGAATCCACCAGTGCTCTGACCATGAGCCACAGAATCCACTAGCATTCTGACTGTGAGCCATGAAACCCACCAGCGCTCTGTGAGCCTCAGAATCCACCAGTGATCGGACTGTGAGCCTCAGAATCCACCAGTGATCGGACTATGAGCCATGGAATCCACCCAGTGCTCTGACTGTGAGCCATGGAATCCACCCAGTGCTCTGACTGTGAGCCATGGAATCCACCCAGTGAAGGACAGCATTGCAGAGAGGACTGGAGAGCAGCATGGCCAGCTGAGTGCACCTCGTTCAAGCAATAGTGTCCGCAGGTGGAAGGCAATGGATGAGAACATAGCCACTGGCAGGAGAGCAGGAGGGGCTGGGTGAACAATGAGGAAGACTCTGTAACACTGGGGGTCACAGAGACAAGCAGGGACACCATGTGACGGGGATCCTATGTGTGTGTGCCCAACAGAGCTTGGAAGCATGCACCCTGAGCCAGGCGAAGCGGGGAGAGAGAGACCAGCACACCTGCACTTTGACTTAGGGTCTCTGTGATGTAGACCAATTACAGCCAAGATTCAGAGCTCAGTACCAGAACCTAGCCCAGTGTGACGGTGTTTTCAGAGGGCGTCATACACAGCAGAGCACCCTCCACCCCAGACCTGGGGAAATGTTCCCAGTCAGAATGCATCCTGAGGTATGAGATGAACCCCTAGTTCAGAAATGAAACATGAGAACTGTATTTGTTCTCTGGTCACAATGACTCCAGCCTGAAGTCAGGAATAGAAAGGTAACAAGAAAAATCTGTGGACACTTGGAAACCACACACATTACCCATCAAGAGGAAGTTCAGGGAAAATGAATTAAATGAAAATACAAGTATCAAAATTTTGATGATGCAGCTAAAGGAGTGGCATGAGGAAAATTCATAGCATTCCATATATATGTGTGTGTGTGTGTATGCATGTGTATATATATATACATATTTATATTATTAGGAAAAAAGAATTTTCTCTAGTAAATAATGTAAGCTCTGCCTCAAGAACCCAGGAAAACACTAAAACAAATCCAGAACAATAGAGATAAAACCAGAAGGCAATCAAATTGAAAACAGACAGTGATGAGACAATCAACAAAGCAGAGTTGTTTCTCTGAAAAGAGGAGCAGTGATGGACCTCCAACCACAGAAGAGGAAGAGGGAAGTGGCGAATCACCAGTGTCCACAGTGGGACCAGGACTATGACTGCAGAGCATGCGGGGGAGAGAAAGGCGAAAGCCAGATCAGAAGGGAGTCTGGACACAGGACTCCCACGGCTTAGACAGAGGGGACCGGCTCTTCAAGTCACACTGCCACTTCTTGCTCTGTGTGAAACAGGTAATTTCAGCAGCCCTAGAACTGATGGAGATGCTGGATTTGTACTTTAAAAAGCCCCCCAGGACCAGGTGGATTTCTTGGAGTAGCCTACCAAGCGTTTGAAGAGGAAGCAGAACCACAGCATGCAACTTCCAGAAGGCGGGCACAGGGAACATCACTCATTTACTTTATGAAGCTAACATCACCAAAACCAGAAAAGGAAAGAAAACTACAGGCCAGCGTCCCTCCCTGAACACAGATGCAAAGACTGCTAACAAACCATTATCAAGTAGAATCGAGCAAGTTATTAAAATAACTAAACACCATGACCGAGTTATTTCAGAGACACACAGCTGGTCCAGACTATGAGCACCAATCTGTATCACCTGCCACATCAGCACATCCAAACGGAAAAACCACAGTTATACCAATCAATGCAGAAAAGGCATTTGCTGGAAATAAACAGCCTCTTAGGCTTTTAAAATCTCCCAGAGAAACAGGACTGGAGAAAAACTGAGGTTGATTAAAAAATAATACCTACCAAAACCCTTCAGCAGGGCTGGAGGGGTGGCTCAATAGTAGAGTGCCTGCCCAGCAAATAGGAGGCCCTGAATTCAAATGCCAGTACTGCCAAACAAACAAACAAATCCTTGTCGCACCCCTGCTGCCTGGTGGCCAGAGGCCTAAGCTCTCCCCTGAGAGGGGAGAACCGAGGACGCCCACCTGCCAGCACCTTGTTCAAATGGTGCAGCTGTCACCAGGGTAATAAGGGAGAAGAGAAATAAATGGGACACCTATGGCAGAAGGGGAGAAGTCAGCCCTTTTGTGCAAGGCTTGATCATCAGTGTGTAAAACCCCAACAGAATACTAGGATAAACGTGTTCAGTAAGGTTACACAAGGCAGCATGAATATACAGGCATTAACTTATTTCTACATTTAGCAATGGATACATGGACACTAAAGTTACAAATACACCGCTTCAATTTCTTTTTTAAAAATAGGATACTTAGCTGGGCATCAGTGGCTCACATCTACAATCCTAGCTATTCAGGAGGCTGAGATCTGAGGATCCAGATTTGAAGCCAGCCCAGGCAGAAAAGTCTGCAAGATTCATCTCTAAACAGCAAAAAGCTAGAAATGGAGTGGCTCAAATGGTAAAGGGCCAGCCTTGTACAAAACAAAGCCAGGTCAGAGTGTGAGATCCTGAGTTCAAGTCCAAGGCCCGGCACATACACAAAAAAAATGGGATAAAGTAAATCAAACGTGACCTGTTGTAATCATCCACTGGAAACTACACAACACTGATTAAATAAATGTGTGGTGATCTATACAGGTGCTGGTCACGCCACGTGAACTGACAAACGTGTGTAGACCTGCACGGTGCTGGTCATGCCACGAGAACCGGCAAATGTGTGATTCTATCTGCTCAGTGACCATCCACACGGACACATGAACAAAATGTTCCCAGCAGCCCTGACCATGGTGTCCAGGGGACCCCGGAAAGACGCCAGTGTGGTTCAGTGGGCAGATGGTTGTGGGGGATCTGCTGTACCACAGTACCACCCTGTTGTAAGAAGGAGGGAAGCACAGCTACCCACTGCCACCAGTGACCAATGCTGAGAGCCAGTCCCCCAGCTCACACGCTGTGCCCCACACACAGTGTTCTCAAAATGGCAGGAGGTAGTGACAGACAGTGATCTCCAAGAGCTAAGCAGCTGGCTGCTAAGGGCACCCAGAGGTTCTGGTGGGGTGGACATCCCATCCACCACCGCGACGGCAGACATGGTATGGTGGCTGCTCTGTGGTTAGTGACCACCGGGGACCGGGGAACCTGGGGTCAGTCCTTACTCGTGTGCGGGCATCTGTGCTTGTCTGCGAGTTTCACCAAAGGGTGACCTGCTCCCAGCAGCCTTCCTTGGTCCCTGGCCACCCCCATGCTGGCATTTTGATGTGTGCCACACATAGATAGCATGGTGCACGGCCCCACGTCCTCCACCCCTGCACTCCCCACTCACCTCCCGGAAACCCTGTTCAAAATGCCGCAGCTGCAGGCACTGCTCCAGCTTCTGCTGATGCTTGGCCCAGAACTCGTCGAAGGCAGCCTCAGTGTCATTCAGCTGTGCCAGGAGCCTGGGAGAGTCAGTAGTGAGTAGACAGCACCTGGGTGGGTCAGGCCCCCATGGACAGCGCCTGCCAGCACCTGGGTGTGGCAGGGCCCCTGGACAGCATCTCCCAGCACCTGGGTGGGGCAGGGCTCAGCTCCACCAGCCCCCTAAGGACTCCATGCTTGGGGTGTGCAGGTGGGACCCATGGACCCTGGGATATGAAGGACAGGCACTTCTGACAAAACCCAGCCCTGTCCTCCTTTCCTGTCATGGGTGGAGCAGCCTCCATTCCTTCTTGAAGGTCGGCCAGGGCAAGCCCAGGTTCCTGTTCACAGCCCTGGGTCAGGGCAGAGCTGCGGCTGCCACGGGGAGGCCTGGATTCATGCTGGCCAGTACCGCCTCACCCCTGCTGCTCTGTTTACCCAGTGCCAGCATGGCTCCCAGACACCCCCACCCCCGGCACCCCACAGGCTGGGCTTGGGCAGGCTCCGTGTGGCAGATGAGGAAGACTTGGGGCCCTGGCCAGGTCCCCACCACGGAGCAGGCAAACCTTCTCCTCGTGGGCCAGGATGGGCACCACTTAACCACACGCCCATTCTGTGCCCCTGGCACGCATGCCCCGCCCCCATGGTCCGGGGACACACGCCTGTGTGTGTGGCCAGGCAGGAGAAGTCCACCAAACAGCCAGGCAAGCAGGCCTGGCCAGCCACCGAGCCACTGGGCAAGGCTCTGCGTAGGCGCCATGAGCCTGCCCCCTCGTGTGGGAACATGGACAGTGCCCACCTGTCCTGGAGGGTAGGACGCCCCCAAGTCCCGGGCACCTGCTGACCCTAAGTGTGCAGTGCTTTGTCCTATGCTCTGTTGAGAGGGTGGAGACTCAAGAGAGACTGGTACCAGCTCCACCTGTACAACCACAGTCCAACCTACACCTCCAAACCAGGCTGGAGCCACAGGCTCCTGATTGCTTTCCTGCTCACTCAGCCTGCAGGAGCTCCACGGCCTGCAGTGCCTTTCCATCCCCACCCGGCCGGACATCTCAGCCTGGAGGCTGTGCGCCGGGGACCCCGCTCTGCACTCAGAGGAGCCACCATGGTGCCCCTGCTGCACTGGCTGCCACTCCCTTGCCTGAGAGCCTCTGGGGTGCATGGGCAGCAGGACCGGGCCTCACCTCTGCACTGTGGCCTGGCTATCCAGCTGGTCCTGGTTCACGCTGAGCACCGTGCTCCCGGCCAGCGGCTCCCTGAGGCTCGCCAGGATGTTATTCCCCTCCTTCAGCGCCAGCTGCAGGTCCTCCTGCGGAGACAACGCAGCCTTGTACCTCAGCCCGTGGCGGGTGGCCCGCAGCGGCTCCCAGTCCAGGCTCCCAGTGGTCTGGCGTGCCCGGATGCATTGTGCGTGATGGGTGCAAAACCATCTCTCCATCATGAGCCTGCTTGCACTTAGACGTGGTGAGGAGAGCAGCTGTCAGGTGCTCGCTCCTGGTGGTGGGGCAGATCTAGGGTTACCATCGCCTGGGGCGAAGGATTAGGTAAAAAGGAAACCAGAAACCAGCTCTTCTCCTGCCCACCTGCAGCCAGCCTTGCCTCACGGGGGTGGGGGTGGGGCAACTGGCAGAGGCTGGGCACGGTCCTCAGAGGCCTGGCCAGTGCCAGCCATCTGGACACCCCCCTCTTCAAAGCCAGCCACATTGCTGACCAGCAATGCGAGCAACTCGGCCTGTATCCGGGAAAGTGAGCATGAGAGGATTAAACAGGAAGTTCAGCCTCGCCTGTCATGATGACTAGTGAGAGAACCTGGCCCCGAAATGACAGCCGCCTACACCATAGCTGCCAGGGCGCCACCCGGTCTCAGGGCGAGCCACGCCGCGCAGCCCTGGCTCAATGCAGGCACCGAGGTCTCAGAGCCGCTCTGCACCGGGGCCGTACTAGCCACCCGCAGATGTGCACTGTGTTTTATGGGGTTCAGAGCTGGCTCTCACGGTGTGAGAAGGCAGATCTGAAATGCCCACGTCCCCAGGCTGGTCCAACACTGTGCTCAGTTGCCGCTCCCTCCCGCCCCACCCTACCCCCGTCTGGCACCGGCAGGCGGGGGCCAGCTGTACCCCCAGGAACCGGCACTTACCTTCGCTTTGCCCTTCTTCTCCGTGTGGGCACGCAGCACCGCCCCGGTCGACTGCACATCATTGGGCAGCTCGGTCTCGGCCAGCTCGGTCCCGAAGGTCTGCAGCATCTGCGCCGTCCGCTTCACCATGAGGGCGAAGCTTTCGATGGCCTTGGGAGGAGCAGAGCAGGGTCAGAGCCTGCTCACCCCGCCGCCGCTGCCACCACCCTGAAAGCCTCCACCACCGCGACAGTCCTCAGAAAGGGGAGCCGCCAAGCAAGGCAGCACATACGCATGCAGGGAGCACCAGCAGGGCAGCACACACACGTGTGCAAGGAAATGCCTTCTTATGACCGTGGACTCACACCTCGTCAGGAATGTACCATCAGATTTACAAATCTCCCCAGCATGGGAGTCATTCTGTCTGTCTGTCTGTCTGCCTGTGTCCCTCCTTGTTAAGGAAGTGCCGGCTTGAACAACACAGTTTTGTCTCCAAGGACAAGACAAAGCCACGCCCAAACTTATGACTATTTCTTCCGGCTATTTCTTTACACTGACTAAGGTCTATTGAGACCATCGCCTCATCGTGGGGAGGAAACTCCAGCGAATCGAGCAAGCTTTCCGAGCAGGCAATGGCCTGCTGGGCTAACCATGCCCCAGCCAGGGCACAGCACAGAGACCCAGGCACTCACCGTGCGGTGGCACAGCCACCTGGAGTGGCAGTAGGACAGGGTCCCCCCGAGGTCCTCGGTCAGCTGGGACTTATCGATGTAGCCATGCAGCTCTGGTACTGAGCTTAGCATTATGACCTGAGGGGACAGGACCGGCATCAGCACAACCGGGGAGTGGGAAGGCTGTGTCCTGAAGGACTGGACACCAAGGGACGGTGGATGGCATGGCTGGTGACACCACCGTGGCTCTGGCCCTCCGGGCTGGCTGACCCCAGGACTGGATCTCTCGTTGGTACACTGGGCACACATGGTAGCACAGGCCTCATGAGGCATAGCTGAGGGCCGATGCTGGCCCGAGGGCACACAGGGAAGCCAGGGCAGAGAGCCTGGCCAGCAGGGATGCCCCAGTGGGTACATGCACCCCTCTCAGGAGGGGAGCTCTGATGCAAAATGCACGGCGTGGCCTGGGCAGAAGACAGCGCTGTCACAGCCCTTGCAGGGAATGGTGCATCCTCCTCACAGGAAGTCACTCTTAGCAGCCACAAAGCCAGGCCCCTGTGTTTGTTGCAACCAGTACTTCCTGAAAGGTGTACTCGGGACCCGTCCGGGCAGGGCCACGCCAGCTCCTCCCACACTGCACCTTCTCCGCTCTGCATTTCTCCTGCCCTTTGTGAAGCCAGGATGCCACTGAGCTTTAGGGGAAGAATGGACGGCTTTGAAAGCTATCAGGTCCTGAGGGCCCGAGGCCAGGCCCGTGCTACTTGATAGCAGCCATGTATTATTGAGCACTGTGTTAGAGCAGGGATTCCCACAAGGACAACTCTGCCTGGGAGACGTCTGCCGGCGCCTGGAGACAAGCTGGCTGTGGCTCCGGGGAAGGCTCCCGTGGCTTTCCCATGTGGGTGGCCACACAGCAAGGAATCACTCAGCAGTGCCTGTAAGCAGGCTGATGCCGAGAGCCAGAGTGGAGTATGCTGTCCGCTCTAACAAATGTTAGATTACCAGGCAAAGGTGGCTCATGCCTGTCATCGTAGCTACTCAGGAGGCTGAGATCTGAGGATGATGATTTGAAGCCAGCCTGGGCAGGAAAGTCCATCTCCAATTAACCAGCAGAAAGCCAGAAGTAGAGTGGTGGCTCAAATGCTTTGAGCAATAGAAGCTCGGGGACAGTGACCTAGCCCTGAATTCAAGCCCCAGGACTGACACAAGCACAAACACAAAAGCCAGATTCTCACTGCAACTTGAAACAGTCATAGGGATGATTCCACTCCTTGTTCATCAAATAAAATATAATATGTGCTAAGCACCAGTGGCTCACACCTATAATCCTAGCTACTCAGGAGGCTGAGATCTGAGGATGGCAGTTGAAAGCCAGCCCAAGCTGGAAAGTCCTTGAGACTCTAATCTCCAATTAACCACTCAGAAAACCAGAAGTGGTGCTGTGGCTCAAGTGGTAGGGCACTTGCCTCAAGCTAAAGAGCTGAGGGACAGCCCCCAGGCCCAGAGTTCAAGCCCCATGACTGACAATAATAATTATTATTATTATTATTATTATAAGGGGTTGGGAAGGTGGCTCAGTGGTAGAGCGCTTGCCTTGCATGTATGAGGCCCTGGGTTCGATTCCTCAGCACCACATAAGCAAAAAGAGAAAAGCCAGAAGTGGTGCTATGGCTCAACTGGTAGAGCGCTAGCCTTGAGCTGAAGAGCTGAGGGACAGCACCCAGGCCCAGAGTTCAGGCCCCACAACCGAACCCCCCCAAAAAAAACAAATAATAAATTTGCAAGCTTCCAGAGGTTTGGGCTGAGCAATCCAGGCAAGTGGTCACTTCCCTTGGCGCCCGTGCCTCAGTGTTGGCTGCCAGGGCTATGCACATGCCCCCTGGCTGTTCTCCCCAGCACCAAGGCTGCACACAGCATCTGAGAAAGACACTGACACTGTCTAACAGCATGTTCCTCTGTAATTCTAGAATGACCTGATGTGGTCTGAGGGAACATGTCCTCACTGAGCTGCTCAGAGAGGGCCTCTGTTTGTCTGGGCAGGGGACGGCAGCGTGGGAGGGGGTGGCAGCAGCTTTGTGAAGGTCAAAGGCTGTGGCCAGATTCTGAGAGCAGTCACAGCCTGGAGGGTGGCGGTTACTTCCAGAAGGTTTGATTTCCAGAAGCCATCTGGGTAGCACGGGTGGTAATTCCATGGGGCCGGGTGTGGTCCCTGTTCCCCTCCTTTTCATGAGGAGGAAATGAACTCATGGTAGCTTGCCCTGAGTCCAGGAGAGCTGTCACACAGGCTAAAGGCCAGGCTGTGCAGTCTCTGGATTGCGTAGGCTTCCAAGACTTTAAAAAGCCTCCGATTTTAAAGCACACAGAGCTAAGCTACACAGGCAGGGACGGGCTGCCCTGTGCTGGCTGAAGTCACAGGGAGGAGTTAGGGCTCTCTGGGCTGTTCCAGGCCCCAGTCCATCCATGACCAGGGGTGGCCGGGGGCTCCCTCCATGGCCTGGGGCTGCCCACGCCCTCCTCCCACACCTTCCTTTTTTTGTGGGGCTCTGGCAAGGCCGAGGCTTGGAGCAAAAATGCCCTGTGACTCTAGAGCGGCCCCACAGGGCCCAGCCCTGGGCCACCACGCAGCCTGGGGTGAGGCGGGGTGGGGAGGTGGGGCACGGAGCCGTGAGGAGGCTCATCCTCCCACGAGGCCTGGGGGTTTGCTCTGTGGCGGAGGCACGGGGATTACTTAGAGAATTCTGATAGTCACAGTGGGCCAAAAATGCAGTGAGGTTCAGTCCCGCCACTGGCGCGGTAGGAGGCACACTCACCGGAACCTTCATCTTAAAGTCATCTCTATTGAACTTGAAGGCGATGTCTGACAGAGTCCTCTGGAAAAATCCCGTGGGCCGGAGAACCAGGACCAGCTGCAGGTTTGCTGGGAACGCTGCCTGTGAGAAAGAAGAGCCCGTGGCACACACATCCCAGCCTGAAGACGCAGAGCTGCCCCGCCGCACTGCTGCGCTGCTGCCCCGCTGCTTTGTAAAAAGCTGTCATGGGTTGGAAGACAACCCTCATTTGGAGGGGTGTCTTCTCTTGGGTCAGTAAACCAAGCACATGAGGTCATGGGGCGGACCCTGGCCCTGACCCAGGGCGGGCTGTACCAGAAGGAAGCCTGGATGCACACATGCACTTAAAAGCACGTGTATGAATCCACGGACACACAGGGGGCTGTTTCCACAAGCAGAGCAATACCCCAGGTTCTTGGCCATCAGCCTCCGAAGCCCAGCCTCGGCCCTCTGCCCCCAAGAACTCGCAGGAGAACGGATGTTTTGCCGCCATGTCTGGGGTACTCTGACACTAACAGACTTGTGAAACAACCACAAAAAAGCTAAACAGCCATCTCTGTAGTGTCTGAAACAGAAAAGCAAGCCAAGCCGCCCGCAGCGCCACCCTTGGCCCTTGAGTAGCCACACGCGCGTTTGGTCACTGCTCGACCTACTTAGAAGGGGTGTGACCCTAGTTACCTGACTCCTATGTGCCTCAGTTTCTCCATCTTCAAAATGGAGACCAAGCTGAACCTGTGTTCCCCCTGTCTGGAAAAGAAGGAGTGTCTCCAGGCATGCTTGGTGTCTAGTGTGGACCTGGGACAGCCCCACAGGGTGGTACTCATGGGGCTGCTCCAAAGCCCAGCCACACTCAGCTGGTGGGGTCCAGGGAGACCCAGACCCAGAGACAGACCTGAGTCTGACTTCTGTATCATCAGGTGAAAAGCTCCTAAATAGGAGAGGCAGGACAGTGGCCGAGCCCTGACGCCGGATCAGATGTGACAGCTAAGGGCCAAGCAGGCATGTGACTGGTAGCCGGCTGCTCTCAGGGCAGTGGATACTAACCTGCAGCTGACCTGAATCCTAGGCAGAGGACACAGCCCTGCAGCTGACCTGTGGCTGACCTGCTCTCAGGGCAGTGGACCTGCAGTTGACTGCCAGGAAGACAGCTGACCCATCTGCAACTCAAGCCAACTCAAGGGCAGTAGACAGCGGCCTGGCCTGGATGGATGACCTCCCACCAGGGCAGTGGACACTGGCTTTGCTCTAGAAGGGGACAGTGCTGCATCAGTGCTCATAAAACCCTCAACATGGCATGGGCAGTGGTGCTGGGTGGGGCTTTTCCTGGTTAGGGAAGGAGAGAGCTGGGAGCTATCCTGGCCCCTCTAGGCAGGCTGCATCCTCCAGCTCATCTGCTCCATCCACAGACCCAGAGGCTGCGCTGAAGTGACCCAGGGACCCCTAGACCCCAGAGAGAGACCCAGCCCACACTCATGCCTATCTCCACCTGCAGGGATACCCACGTCTATGACCAGGATGCCCTGGGGGAGAACAGGAGGAAGTGCCACCAGTGACCACACCTGTGCTGGTAGCTAGTGCACCTAGTGCCCAGTGCCCACGATGCCTGGTGCCCATGATGCCCAGCACACACAATGCCCGATGCACACGATGCTAGTGTACCCACTGTCCAGTGTACCACTGTCTAGTGTACCCTGTCTAGTGTACCCGCTGTCCAGTGTACTGCTGTCCGGTGTGCCCTGTCTGGTTTACCCTCTGTCCGGTGTACTGCTGTCCAGTGTAACACTGTCCAGTGAACCGCTGTCTAGTGTACCCTCTGTCCAGTGTACCCTCTGTCCAGTGTACCCTCTGTCCAGTGCACCTCTGTCCAGTGCACCTCTGTCCAGTGTACCTCTGTCCAGTGCACCTCTGTCCAGTGTACCCTCTGTCCGATGTACCGCTGTCTGGTGTACCCTCTGTCCAGTGTACCGCTGTCCAGTGTACCCTCTGTCTGGTGTACTGCTGTCCAGTGTACCCTCTATCCAGTGTACCGCTGTCCAGTGTACCCTCTGTCCAGTGTACCATTGTCCAGTGTACCACTGCCCAGTGTACCCTCTGTCCAGTGTACCATTGTCCAGTGTACCACTGCCCAGTGTACCCTCTGTCCAGTGTACTGCTGTCTGGTATGCCCTCTGTCTGGTGTACTACTGTCCAGTTTATCCTCTGTCCAGTTTACCACTGTCCAGTGTACCTTCTGTCCAGTGTATCATTGTCCAGTGTACCACTGCCCAGTGTACCCTCTGTCCAGTGTACTGCTGTCTGGTATACCCTCTGTCTGGTATACTGCTGTCCAGTTTATCCTCTATCCAGTGTACCGCTGTCCAGTGTACCCTCTGTCCAGTGTACCATTGTTTAGTGTACCACTGTCCTGTGTACCCTCTACCCAGTGTACTGCTGTACAGTAAACCCTCTGTCTGGTGTACTGCTGTCCAGTTTATTCTCTGTCCAGTGTACAGCTGTCCGGTGTACCAACTGTCCACTGTACCCACTGTCCAGTGTGCCCATTGTCCGGTGTATTATTTTCCAGTGTACCACTGTCCAGCGTACCTGCTGTCTGTTGTACCCACTGTCCAGTGTACCACTGTCAGGTGTACCCACCATCCAGTGTACCGCTGTCCAGTGTACTGTTGTCCAGTATACACACTGTCCAGTGTACCCTCTGTCCAGTGTACCCTCTGTCCAGCATACCCTCTGTCCAGTGTACCCTCTGTCCAGTGTACCGCTGTCCAATGTACCCGCTGTCCAGTGTACCCTCTGTCCAGTGTACCACTGTCGAGTGTACCACTGTGCAGTGTACCCGCTGACTCGCAGGTGGCTCCTTGGTCAGGAGAACACAATCTTGCTGAGTCAGAGGCTGAGGACACTTCCACATTGGCCTCTGTGACCCTACTGAAGGAAACTGCCCTTCCGGCAGCCTTCCGGGAAGCTGCAGCCCACCCGGCTCTCCTCAGCTCCGACTGAGCTGGCCAAAATTTAAAACCCTCCTCAAGCCCCAGTCACTTTTCTTAAGGTTCAAAGCCACACCCACGGGCCTGTCATCTAACTAATACTTTAATGTTGTCTATTTAATATTAAATACAGCAGCCAGGACCTGACCAGTCACTTTTGTCTGAAAGTAGCCAACGGCGAACAAAATTTCATTTGAAAGCTGAGTCTCAGGGTGAAGACAGAGACCACCTCTGGGTCTGAATGGGAGACACTGGCCGGCAGTGCCTACGTTGGGTGGGCCTGTCGCAGCTCTCCTGTTGCAGCAAGGAGTCTGAGAAGCATTGTCAGTGGGCCGGCACGGCCACAAGGACACAGGACGAAGCCCCAGGAAGACCCCCAAGGTGTATTTCGCACCCTATGGCCCGGGTGAAGTGGCCATCGCTCTCTCCATTGGAACCACGGGGCAGAAGAACGTGGGGAGCAGGCCTGTGGGGCGCACGAGTGTGGCCCTGACACACTGAAAATGAGGAGAGGCGACCTCTAGAGGAGAGTCTGGGGATTGGGCCCGGTCCCAGGCTCCCTGAAGGTCAGCTCCCTGCCCTTCTGAGGGTCCCCTCTTCAGGGAGGGCTGTGGTACCACCACCCTGTCCCAGTGGCCTGTGCTCAACAGGACAACTTGGGGTCCTTCACTGGCTACCCTCTCTGGCTGGTGCCTATGCCTTGTGCTCCGGGAAAAACCCATTCCCTCTGCCAGGAGCCTGCCCTTTCTGCCCGGCTTCCAGTTTGCTGAGAAGCCTTCCAGAGTTGGCTCCCATGCCACAGCTACCAGCTGCTCCGCCCCTGCTGCCATCTCAGCCTTGGAGCACTGTACCCGGTCCTCAGGCAGGAGACCAGCCGTGGCGTTCACCACAGTGGTGCTCTGCTCACCATGCTCTGCTCTGCTCCAGCCTGTGTCTCTCTGCACATGAACTGCACTGGCCTGAGAGTAAAGTGGAGTCCGGCCCCAGCCCACAAGACAGTACTTTACATTCGATTTCCTGGAGCTGAAGATTCTAGAGCACAGATGGAATTGGGTGTAGGCTTCTCCATTCAAAATGTGAATGTGAACACAGACGGTAGAACGGGAGAGGTCACAACGCACATACCATGGAGCAGGAGCAGCGGACAACAGGCACTCCGGTGTCCCATGGGGACAGCCCTGCAGGGGCATGTGAGCTCCAAGCCCGCTCCTGGAGGAGGGAGGCACCTCGTTCTCTGCTCTGGGCCTTGTCACCTCCACCTGTGCCCTTGGTTCAGACCAGGCACACACCTCATCCTCCGCCCACAGTCAGACCAGGAACGGGCTCCATTCCTGGCGGCCCACAGGGCTGACTTGGGGAACACTGGGTCTCGGCTCCGCCCATGTTTTACTTTTCTATTCCAAGCCAAGCTGAAGACATCCGTAGAGAAAAGAGCACGAGGCGGGATGTGTGCGGCTAAGAATAGTGGGAATCTTAAGAATGACGTCAGTGCAGCTCACTGAAGACCTGTGTGTCAGGAGGCCAGGGGACCCCCAGACCCTCCCTGGAGACCAGAGGACCCCTACACCTCCCTGGGGACCCGAGAACCCCCAGGCCCTCCCTGGGGTCCAGGGGACCCCCGCTTCTGTGGCTTCCAGGTCTGTGCCTTGGGACAGCCTTCCATGGAGGGCATCTATGTGGGAGTCCTTAGGGCCTGAGCGTGAAGCTGACAAGCCAGGGTGGCTATTCCTTTATACCCCACCGGGACCCTCGGGTGTGCACCAAGGAACGGCTGGCCCTCTGAGGGAAATGTGGCTGTCCAGTCCCCTGGAATCATACACAGATATTCTCTACATTGCATGTGAAAATTATCTGGGTTGAAACACTGATGTGTATGTGTGGTGTGTGTGTGGTGTGTGTGTGTGTACGTGCACTAGAAGAGACTGACTGGATGGACTGCAGGGCCAGGCATGTGGTCCTGTGGGTGGCGGCTATGTGGTGGCTAGACCTGCCTTTTTTTTTTTTTTTTTTTGGTTGGTCGTGGGGCTTGAACTCTGGGCCTGGGCGCTGTCCCTCAACTCTTCAGCTTAAGGCAAGTGCTCTACCACTTGAGCCACAGTACCACTTCCGGTTTTCTGGTGGTTTATTGGAGATAAGAGTCTTACGGTCTCTCCTGCCCCGGCTGGCTTTGAACCATGATCCTCAGATCTCAGCCTCCTGAGTAGCTAGGATTACAGGCGTGAACCACCAGCACCTGGCTAGACCTGCCTTTTTTGAGCCCGTCAAGTGCTGGGAGGCGTTTGGATGGATGAGGCCTGGGAGGGCTTGGTGGGGGTTGCGGATGGGGCACGCCCCACAGAACCACACAGAGGTGCCGGGCCAAGCCCTGCAGGTGGGCTGGGAGCGTCAGAGTGGACGTGCAGCCCTTCATTCTCCTTCAGGATGAGACCAGGAGCCTGCAGAGCAGGACCTGAGCCTCCGAGCGGCTGGGACCTGAGGATGGCTGGGGTGATGGGGAGGCCCCTGAGACGGGGCGTCTGGCGGGCAGAGAACAGTGATGCACCCGCCTCTGCTGTGGATAACGCAGCGCTGGGTCCTTGGCAGCTGCAAGGCCTCGGCTGGCAGGCAGGAGAGGGGGTGTGGAGAGCTCAGTTCACAAGAAGCGCACCATGTAGTTGTGGGTGGGAGGGGAGAGACTTCCGAAAATAAGATTTCTGCCAGCTCCTTCTCGCTCCTCTGAAATGATTACTGCAGGCTAAAAACAGCAGCCCCGGGGGCTTGCCCACCCTGCCGCAGCCCCAGGGCCCAGGGTGCACGGGGGGGGGGGCGGTCTCTAAGGAAGGCCTGGGCATCTGCTCGCAAATCTAAAGACAAAGTAGCCCGAACGAATGTGGAAAGGAAAGGGTCGCTTAGAAAGAGCTGTCCAGTAATTTCCATCTCCAGCCTGAAGACTAACACACAGCGTCTGCTCAGAACTTTTATGCTCCATTTAAGAGAGGACACAAATTAGAACAGACTCTTTGAGAGTACCCACATGAGAACACACCATGCACACACACACACACACACATGCACTCGCGTGCACACACACATGCACATATGCACACATGGCCAGCAGCTCAGAGCCCCTGTGGGTTCAGGGCTCGGCCCATTCTGAGCTGGACCCCAGCTGGCCACCTCCAGGCAGAAACAGCAGGACACAAACTGCAGGGCCTAGGGGAGAGGAGCCAGCACTCGCCACCGCCAGGACTGGGAGGCACTTACGGCTATGCGAAGGACCGACGCCTTCACGGAAGTCCATTTGTCCTGCCTTCGGTCTATGACCAGGATGAATCCGATCCCAGCATCTTGCAAGCTGAAACGAAGAGAAAGGCTGCCGTCAGCTCAGGAAGCCAGGCTTCCACGTTACAGCGCGATCCTGCAAGCCCACGCCATCCTGCACTGCAAATCAGAATGCACGCCAGGGAGGGGCCTCGGCGGACGGCAGCGTGGCCAGGGCCCTGGGCAGCCCCATCGCAAGGCTGCCACGACTCACTCTTGGCTAAAAGAGGGCAGGGATGGGCATGTTGCTCCTGCTCAGCCTGCCACCAGCCACATCAAGTCCCCGGTCAGGCAGGCCCATCATTCCAGTCACACGCGGGAGGGGGGGGAGGGGGGTAAGGGAGTGGGGTAGTATATTCCACGATTTCCCTTTCCTTCGTGGTCAGCTGACTAAGCCCTCCGAAACAATCCTAGGACCCACACATCACGCAAGTCCCAGCATCTGTGCTCTCCCTCCCTGTTCAGCTGCATCAAAAAATCTCTTCTGGTGGCATTGCTACAACTTGGGAAGAAAATCCCCAAGGCATCTTCAGGCTCCCGAGCCTCCGTGGGGAGTGGGACATGAGCGCTTCTTGGCAGCAGCAACGTTGGTGGCAGAGCCAGGCCAGCATCTCGCCGTTGTGTAACCTCCTCTCCCTCCGCTTCGCAGCTCAGCCCCAGCCTGAGTCACAGGGTGGGAGAGGGAAGTGTGCATCCCGCTGGGGAGTTTCACATCCAAGCCAATCATGTGGTGCCAGCAGCTGCCATCACCAGCCAATCACCACCGGAGGGAGGCGGACCGGCCAGCAGAAGCCCTGGCTCTAAACCTGAGAAAGTGCCCAAGCGAGCCGTTTCTGGGTTAAGGGGAAGTCAGGATTCTACGGACGTCATCATTTGTGCAGTCCGTGAGGCTGTGACTTTATAACGAGGATCCTCTGGTTTAACAGCAAGGGGCGCTCAGAGCACACTCAGCAATGACACGTTACACCATGCACCGGAGAATGGAGGATTTCACGTGTGGACGGTAAGTTGGCTCAAGAACAGCAAACATACTTCCAGGTAAATGCACACATAAATCTGAGCTTTTACTCCAAATAGCCTCCTGCCTCCAACTGCTCAGCAGGACTGCAGATCTGCTTTGTCCAGCTGAGCTGCTCCGAAGAGAGGTAGACACAGAAGAGCGCTGTCCCCTGCTCTGGGCTGCACTGCAGGAGCCCTGAGCTCAGAGCCTGAAGCCCTGAGGTGCACGGGCCCTTTCTCAGTGGCCCCATGAGGGACTTGACTACTTTTGTGAGCGACTCCCACCCTGCTGTCTTGACCTGGGTCACATGGTTCATGGCTCAGTGCAAGATGGACAAGGCCACCGGATCGCAGCATCTATGTGGACCGCAAACCCTGTAGAGGCAGAAACCTCCAAACGCACTCTGCAGCATCACCTGATCTCCAGATACACAGCCTGCAACTGCGACGTCCTGGAGCCTCTGGAGACTGCGGTCAGCAGGACCCTGGCCCCTCCCTCGTGCCCGCCGCCCCCTTCAGAACTCCCCACCATACGGCACTGAAGGAGGTGCACCGGGATGCCTTTGGGGGACTTGGTCAGGAAGCCAAACCCCGTCTCTCCCTATAGTGACAGAGGAGAGGCCCAGAAAGACTGGCTGGCATTATACATGCTTCAGACCAATGGGCCCAGTAGTAAATTTTCAGTACAAAATTTGTGCTCTAGCCAGGTGCTAGTGGCTCACACCTGTCATCCTAGCTACCCAAGAGGCTGAGATCTGAGGATTGTGGTTCAAAGCCAGCCCAAGCAGTAATGTCTGCGAGATTATTATCACCAATTAACCACCAGCAAACTGGAAGTGGCGCTGTGGCTCAAAGTGGTAGAATGCTAGCCTTGAACAAAAAAGCTCAGGGACAGCACCCAGGACCTGAGTTCATGCCCCAAGACCACTACCACCACCACTATCACCAAAAAACTTGTGATCTTGAGAAATGCCCTCAAAGGCCCCCGTGAGGTCTGCTAAAAGCCACCCCACCCCCATGAGGACAAGATGGACGGGCAGACACCCACTCCCTGTGGGACACAGGCCCTCAGAGGCTGCCCTGCAGGGACACAGCTGAGAACCGCCTCCGATTCCCGCTCTGGACACACTGGAATAACCACAGCACAGCTATGTTCTGCTCCACGGTGAACGCCCACCTATGCCGTCAAGGTTCCATGAGCCGCACAGCCTGGCTGTGATGATGGCGGGTCACAGCCTCACCCCCACTCTGTCTGCATCCCCCACAAAGCTCTTTTCTGCCCACAGGTGCAGACGCGAGGCCCCGGCTGATTAGCTGAAGGAACAATTTGAAACAAAACCACAGGTGAGGCTCTGGAGCAGGGCAGAGGCACAGGCAGGTTTAGTCTCTGAAGGGCAGTCTGACAAATCATGCCCTCTTGTGGTGAGCATGCAAAACCACAGGCCATAGGCAGGGTTGGCAGCCGGGCGTTATCTCTGATGCCAGGCCCCCAGCCTGCCAGGCATTGCTGCCTACTACACAGACGGGGCAGTGTGCAGGCACAGTGCACACAGGGCGTGGCTGAGTCCTGGGCAGGTCCCAAGGCTGTGGGGCCATCTTCCTGGGTGTTGTTTTCTCCTGGGCCTCTGGCTGGCTCTGGGGGGGAGGAGGGCTAGGAATCTCCACATGGGGTGACCATCAGGCAAGAGGCGGAGGGAGCAGGATGAAGGCTATTGGAGACCTCTGGGGCACACCAGGCTGGGGAGGGGGGTCTCCTCAGGTGGGAGGGGTGGGAGGAGCAGAACTTACTCATACTGAGCTCAGGGCAGACATCTCCCAGGCTCCCCTCTGCAGGTACTGCCCCAGCCACTCCCAGGACCTCCAATTTGGGGTGTCAGGTAGGGGTTTGAGTCCCAGAGTGTGTGTGCGTGTGCATGTGCATGCATGTGCTCAGGTATGTCTGTGAATGTGTGCATGTGTATGAGCATGTGTGTGTGCATTGTGTTCATGTATGTATGTGAGCGTGTGTGCTTATGCATGTGTATGAGTGAGCATGTATGCATGTGTTCATGCATGTATGTGTATGAACGTGTATGTGAGTGTGCATGTGGGTATCCATGCATGTGTGCATGCGTACATTTATATATGTGTATGATGTGAGCGTGCATATGCGCATGTTCATGTATGTATATGGGCATGCATGTGGGCATTCATGCATGTGTGTACATTTAAGCTTGTATGTGTATGAGTATGTATGTGAGCATGCATATGTGCATGCATGTGTGTGGAGGGTGCAGAGGTCTTCAGACACCACACAGGCATGAAATACCACCTCATCCCTCCTTGGGGACAAAGGGAGGAGGAAGAGAATTTCCCAGGAAGGAGATCAAATGAAACCCTCAGCCTCAGGGCAGGACTGGGCTCAGTTTCCCTCCTCTGTAACTTTAGAGGAGAGCAGGGAATTAAGAGACCTTGCTGCTTGAACTGGCCAGAGAGACACACACCCCGCCAGATACAGCCCTGGCTGTAGGCGGACGGGGAGTAGGTGGATGGGCAGGCAGTGGCTCAGCCGGCCTGGTTCCCTTGACCTCTATCCGACCACCTCCCCCACCCCCGTCTGGCCAAAGCCCCTCGGAGCAATTTGCTCCGTCCCCTCCTGAGGCTTGACAGGCTCCACCTGCCCAGGTTACAAGACCAGCTACTCATGAGCTTGGGTGAAGAAACCAACAGACAGGGGATGCCCCGCCTCCCCTGCCTCACCTAGAGGCCACAGCTGCAGAGGCCTGGAGCCAGGCCTGCTCTGTAGCTCTGAAGCCCCAGGTGAAGTCTGCTCTGCCTCACCCAGCAGCTCCTCCAAGGGTTTGCAGAACCTCACCCCAGGGCCTCCGCCCCAGTGACTGCTCTGCATCTGCAAGATCAAGCTCAAGCTCCAGACGCCCTCTGCTCCTCATCCAGTTCACACCTGGAGGAGGGGGGTGCCCAGCCCCCGTGGGATGACTGGGTAACATGGCAAGCTGGGTGCTGTAACAGGGCTGGGAGGAAAAGGTGCCTGAGCTGCAGCCTCTACATCCTAGGAAAACCTGAGCTGCGGCCCCTATCTCCTAGGAAAACCCGAGCTGCGGCCCCTGCCTCTTGGGAAACCCGAGCTACGGCCCCGACCTCTTGGGAAACTTCAGCTGCGGCCCCCACCTCTGAGGGAAACCCCAGCTGCGGCCCCTACCTCCTAGGGTGCCTGAGCCGCTGTCTGTTCCTCTGAGGGTATCCAAGCTGTGGCCTCTACTTCGAGGTACTTCCTCACAACTAAAGGCGATACGCCTTCGGCAGGGCCAGCACCCTGGACAGTCCCTGGTCTTGGCTTTGCATGAAGAATGTGGGGCTGTTGCTGTGGCATGTCACAAACCGCGATGGCCACAGGACAGCCCTGGTCATGTGTGGACAGAAGCAGGCCAGCTCTGGGAGGAATTTCAACTGCACCGTTCACCCTCGAGATTAGTAGGTATCAGGATGCATGGAGGTGATGGGAGATGATGGGAACAATGGATGAGGAGGTGACAGGGGAGGGGAGGTGACACAGGACGAGGAGGTGATGGGGATGAGGAGGAGATGGGGGGGGAGGTGAGTGGGGGGAGATACAGGGAGGTGACAGGGGATGGAGTGGAGAGGTCATGGAGGTGGGGAGGTGATGGGGGATGGGGAGGTGATGGGGATGAGGAGGTGACAGGGGAGGGGAAACGGGGAGGTGACAGGGGGAGGTGACAGGGGATGGAAAGATGATGGGGTGGGGAGGTGATGGGGGATGGGGAGGTGATGGGGATGGGGAGGTGATGGGGGATGGGGAGGTGATGGGGATGGGGAGGTGATGGGGGTGGGAAGGTGATGGGGGTAGGGAGGTGACGGGGGATGGGGAGGTGATGGGGGCGGGGAGGTGATGGGGGTGGGGAGGTGACGGGAGTGGGGAGGTGATGGGGGATGCGGAGGTGACACAGGAGGAAGTGGCTTCAGAAGGATGTGACTTCGGCAGGCACAGGATGGAATCTCATGCGAAGGGGTCACCACGGTGCTGGGCCCTGGGGCCCCGAGTGCTCAGGAGCACTGGACTCTGAGTAGAAAACTGGTGCAGGTAGCTGATGTCAAAGTCTATGATGACCTGGGGGAGGCACAGCCAGTAAAGCCAGCGGTGACGAGAGATCTCTGCCCAGCTGCGCACTTCACGAGGCCCTGGCGGGAGCGCCGCCAGCACACAGCAAAGGAGGGAACCGACAGCCCCGGACCCAGCTCCGCCAAGGACCGCCTGTCCCCACCCAGGACTGTGGAAGCCCAGCTAGTCCAGCGCCGGCCCTCACCATAGCCATGCTCAGCCAGGCGTGGTCCACGGGGCCCCTGCAGCAGGAGGTGCACAGTGGGGCATCCTGCATCCTCAGAAAGAGCCAGGTACACAGCTGAAGGACTTGGTGAACTGCTGCTGGACAGAGAGCAACCTGAACCTCAGGGATGCTGTGTTCCCCTGCACCTTGGTGGGGGGGGAGACCTGATGTCCCCCAGCCCTCAGCTCCTGCAGAAGGAGGCAGGACACAGCGTAGAACTTTCTGTTTCAGCGTGGGCCTAGCAAGAGGCCTGGCACACACGCTGCTGCTCACTTAACACTCTTGGCCCTTACACATACAAGGCCACGGATGATTCCGCTAGAAATGCACAGCCAGGGTGAAGCGTACCCCCCAGGGCTGAGCCAGACAAGTGGTCAGACAGGCTCCCAAATCCTCCGACCACGCCCCCTGCCCAACGGAGTGCTGCCACCCCCCGAAGCCCGCATGCGGCTTCCTCGACGCCCCCAAAGCCTGCACGTGGCTTCCTCGACACAGCGAGCACATGCAGCCATGGCCACAGCAGCTCTGGGCTTCTCGGCACGTACCTGGGGATGCTGGTGAGGTAGGTCATGACATTCTGGAACTCCTTGTCCGGGATCTCGCTGAAGGCTGGGTAGTCAGGGAATGTGATGACTGGGCTGCCGTCCTGGCCCCGCCCACCTGGGGAGACATGATGGAAACTCAGCAGGGTCTCCTGCCCAGCCACAAAGGCGGTACCCTGTCAATGAAACTAAGGCTGGCTCACATGGTTCTGTATTTTCTTTTATGTGTGTGTGTGTATGCATGTATGCACACAAGTACTGGGGCTTGAACTCAGCCTGGGCACTGTCCCTTAGCTTTCTCACTTAAGACTGGCATTCTACCACTAGAGCCACAGATCCACTTCTGGCTTTTCTGGTAGCTTAGTAGAGATAAGAGTCTCATGGACTTTCCTGCCCAGGCTGGCTTCCAACAAGTGATTCTCAGATCTCAGCTTCCTGAGTAGCTAGGATTATAGACAGGAGTCACTGGCACCTGACTTGTATTATCTATGAAAAAAACTGCACATGTACAGAAGGAATATTTAGTGACCCTCAAACAGGACATCTGTCCCCCAACTCTTAATCCCAGTCAGGGCCACAGGCTGGAAGTGTCCCTTCTGAGAAGCCATGCTCTGTCTACTGCCTCGGAGGCTCTTGGCCTTCCGGCCCTGTCCTGACTTAAGATGTGTTCCTTGTGGCGCTGAGCAGAGCTGTCTTCGGTTCTCAACCATCCTTCATCATCTTGAATTCTTGCTGCTCAAAAGAAAGGCCAGGTCCCTGCTGCAGACAGACTGAAAGCTTTGTCCATTGTCCGATCTGTCCCAGTTAACAGCCCTTTGGGGATTGGACCTGCCATGGCTCAGCTTCATGTGGCGCTAGGAGACAACTTTTCATTCATGAAGGGCAGGAGGACGGTACCAGAAGAGGCCAGCAAGCCTGGGGAAGGGGGGGTGGCCACGCCTGCCCTTTGCTTTCTGACAGGACTCACTGGGAATGTGGTGCAGCCGGCTCCATGTCCACTGCGTTCCTGTGTGGGCGGCAAGCTGACCGCAGGCTACAGCTGCTCCCATAGCAATTCCAAGGTGTGTGAGTCCCTGCCACGGAGTCAGGCCACGGAGGAGCCCATGTGGCCTGGACCCTGTCTCTCCCTGCCACGGACTGCGCCAGGGGAACGCACCACGGGAACACACTCTTCTCCACCTGCTGCAATGGCATAGCTATGCGAGTGTGACCGTGTGGCTCTCTGACGTGGCGTGGGAATGGGAAGGGCTTGCTCTGCTCACACCCAGTGCAATGCCCAATGAGCGCGTCCCCTGCAAGCCCAGGATCCATCCTGTGGGAACATTCTAGAGTACAGCTGCTCCTCGGGCTACCCTACCACCATCTAAGTCCATCATGGCCACAGCCAGGCCTTTGCCCTGGTTCTAGGCTGCTCCGGGGGACCCGGAACCAGACCACATGGGTGGTGCCGGAGCCTCGGATGTGACGCTGGGCGGGCAGGCTGGCCCCAGATGACGGGTGCACCTGGGCCTCTCTGAGGCCCCAGGGCCTGGCTGACTCTGAGTGGCTCCGATGGGTCTTGCCTTGTGAGGCGCATGGGCTGAAGCAACTGCTGTGACTTCCAGAGAGGTGCTGGAGGCAGGGAGGAGGCCTTAGGGCTCTCAGGACACATTTGGAAAGAACTGCAGTTCAACTACTCATAACCTTACTATCATATGGGAAAGAGCCGAGCAGGAAGCCAAGCAGATAAGGCTGCAGACACTGGCAGGTGTTGAGAGAAGCGTGGGCAGCGGCTTCATGCAGGGTAGAGGCACAGGAGCCCCCAGAGGGGAGGTGGCCCACTCCACAGGCCGAGAGTGGGCTCATCAGGGCCTCCTTGGCCTCCCAGAGTCACCAGCTCCAGGCTGGTGTGAGGCCCGGCCCCACCCAGATCGGAAGGGCCCAGCTCTTGAACTGATAGCACTGCTATAGGTCCAGGTGCTGGGAGTGGCAGGGACATTGCCTTGCGGGCGGGCTAGGTGAGGTGAAAATGAAAGGCAGAAGCCTGCACCAGTAAGCACTGAGATGCTTCATCTTAGGCCTCTCAAACCCCAGGGCGCCCTCTGGAGGGCAGCAGCATAAAGCAGTAGATAGGCACTCTGGCATGGACAGCACTCTGGCATGAATAGGCACCCTGGCATGGACAGGCTGTGGAGCAGTGAGGGGCACCAGCTCAGGATCTGAGCAGCCAGAGGAGGAATCCACTGTGCGACTCGGTGTCTGGAGTCTGTTGTGCAGGGAGAGCCCGTCCTGCAGGAGTAGCTGATGTGGTAGGCCCACTGAGGAAAGCTGTGACTGACCTGAACCTTGATCTCTTCTGACAAGGACCTTGACACTCCAGGCTGGTGTTTTCTGAATGCCAAGGAGAGATGCATACAGTGGGGCCGACCGCAGGTACATACAGCCCACAGGGCAGGGCAGCTCACAGTTAATGTGGGAGCCAGTGGCCCAAGGCTGGGGCATGTGGGTGGCAAGGGGTGGTGGGAGGCTAGGAGGGAGATGGGGTGGTGGACCGTAGCATCTTCACAAGCTTTGGCTGCTCAGCCCTCAACCCAAGGCGGTTCTGACCTCATCCTCTTGAGACCTGGGCTCTCATGTGCTCTGTTTTTGTCTCTGTCTCTCTCTGTGCTACTGGCAATCACACTTGCTAAGCAAGTACTCTACCACTTGAGCTATGTATGCCCCTTAGCTGTTTTATTTCTATTTTACTTTTTTAAAAAGGGGGGGGTCCTCACTAATTTTGTTGGCTTTGAACTCAAGATCCTTCCATCTCTACCTCCTGAGGAGTTGGGATTATAGGCGTGTGCACCGCGATCTAGCTCCAGATGACTCACCCAGCCTGGGGTGTTGTGTTATGAGCAGAGGAGATAGACGGGGCCCTGACGCCTGGCCACCCTTCCTGTAACGACAGGGTGGCCAGGGTGGCCGTGCTACCGGCTTCTCCCCAGGCAGTGGCTGGGAGCAGTCTGGAAGGCCTTGTGAGACTAGTTCAGCCCCGGGAGGTGTGCCGTCCCAGGATAGCCCAGGCAGTGCCAGGTCCCTGCACAGAGGCTGCCCCTTCCCCCAGCCTTCCCGGCCTCCCAAACTCACCGGACAGGTAAGCGAAGCGCTTCTTCAGCTGCTCCTGGATGTCGGCCGCGCAGAGCGGGACGATGTCCTGGTGCATGATTTCATCTGCAGGAAGAGCAGAGGCACCGTCACCGCAGGAAGCCGCGCCCACACCCACAGGTAGGGCCCGGGGGACAGGGACTGGCCTGGCCAGCAGCGCCACAAACACCGGGAGCGGCAGTCAGGTCACGTGCTGGAAAAAGGTATTTCAGGTTCCAATGGGAGCAAGCTTTCTGTTTCTCCCAGCACAGAGCCACCATCAATGGTTAAAATGTGTGTATGATGGAGAGAGGAGGCAAAGAAACAGAGTGACAGATGGAAGTCGGGGAAGGAGGAGGGAGGGAACAGAGGAGGAAGGGAAAGGAGGGGGAGGGAAAGGAGGAGGAAGGAAAGGAAGGGAGGAAGAAGAGGGGGAGGGAAAGGAGGAGGAGGAGGGAAAGGAGGAGGAGGGACAGGAGGAAGAAGGAAAGGAGGGGAAAAAGGGAGGAGGAAGGAAAGGAGGGGGAGGGAGGGGGAGGGACAGGAGGAGGAGGGAGAAGGGGGGGGAAGGGCTAGGCCTGACTCATGAAGTAAACAAGCTCCTGCTCTGCTCCCCACCTAGTCCTGGCAGACATCCAGACCACTTGTGCTCTCACCTGTTGCCTATCAATGGTGTGCTGGCCGGCAAGGACACCTGCCGCCCCACCCCAACCCCAGAGGCCCACGGCCTCCACAAATGCCACGGCCACGCGCCCCAGGCCTTTCCCAGTGCATGATTCGGGTGAAGCAGAACAGGAGCAGGCCTGAGTCCTGACCTCAGGCACGGATAGGCAGCTCTGTCCACCACAAATTCCAGGTCAGCAGCCTGGGGATGGACAGGGAGCAGGTCCAGCTGGATTCTGCTGGAGCAGAGATGGATGCCACCGTGCAGGACAGGGCTGGCCTCCAGCTGGCGTGCTGCTGTCCACACTCTGTCATCACACCAGAATCTGTCCACGCCCCACAGCACAGAAGCACTGACAGACAGCGGAGACTGCTCCTGTGGACCGCAGTCACCTGGGTGACCAGCCACAATGGCTGGAGATGTGTGCAGCCTCGACCTTAGATCCTGCGACTCCAGCCGTGTAGACAAGCCAGAACACAGCCGCCCCGAGCCACAGTGCCTGACTGCTGGCTGGCGACATGAGTGGCCTGTCCCTGCCGGCCCCTCTACTGGGGCTGGTGAAGCTCTGCTAGGCCCACCCATGCCTGTCAGAGCTGCATGGCATGGCGTGCCCTGTGCACGAGGAGTTGGGAAGTAGATGACAGTCACCTTCTTCAGACACAGACCTCCTCAACACACAGGGCGCACTTCCCAGTGTCAGCCCGACGACAGGGGCTCGGCTTCCACTTGTGGGGACTGCAGGACTGAAGACCACAGTCCGACAAAGGCGACACATAATGTGCTGGGCGAGGAGAGCTGCGGCCTGCACACCCATGCCTCGCGCGGGATACACTGGCGGTCTTCGTGAAGGTGTGAGAAACCACGGGGAGTTCGCCAGTGGCACTGGGGCCAGCGCGCTCTTTGCATCCAGGACAAACTGGACAGTCGTTCAGAATGCCCGGGATGAGGCCTGAGCCTTAGGCTGGCCAAGATCCACCTGGACCTGGCCATGATGAGAGAGACGTCGGCCCCGGGTCTACAGACTTGCCCCAAGCACGTCTGGCTGCACCCCCTGGAAAAGGAAAGACTTCTGACTGCTCCCCACCCAGGAAAAGGAAAAACTTCTGACTGCCCCCACCCAGGACAGGAGAAGCTGAGTGGGAGGGCTCCTGATGTGAACATTCTGAGTCCTGACTTGTACTGTGGTCCAGATGGTTCCCACGTTTATTCTGTGGGTTCTGGATGGTAATGTTGAGATGCCCCCCAACCCTGCACTCCAATGGGGGTACACCCAGGCTCCTGAGCACATGGTGTCATTCTCGGGCCTCAGTTGGCTGATGGTGGCTGACTTTCCATGGGTTCAAACAGGCTGCCAGAAGATGTGTCCCCTGCAAGCCGACCAGCTTCTGTGTGTGCAGGTAGGCCTAGGCGTGGCTGCCCTCAGGTGAGATCTCTTGTCCTGTGGGTAGAGTCTTTCTCTACCCAGCTTTAGTCCAGTTTCAAGGCCTTCACCCTGTGTGACACCATGTCCCCCACCCTGCAGGCACCCTGCCCTCTACTGTCCCCATGATGCTTGGTCAAAAGGCCAGGGGCATCTTCCTGGCCACTGGTCAGCCCTGGCATGCAGCCGACCGAGGACATTCTGGAGCATCTGCTGTTCGTTATCACACGAGGCTTTCTCAGACAGCAGGCTCTAGGGTGCTTTGTGCTTCAAGCTCACCTCCGTGCTAGTTTTTTTCCTTCCTACCTTTTTATGCCCACTGTGGACTGATGGGACAGCGCCAAGCTATGTGATGAGAGCATTCTTAATCTCGTCCAATCTGTGCTTTGTGGATAAGAGGCTGGATTGGTAAATTAACTAAAAACAAGGTAAAAGCCGGCACCCAGCCCCGCAGCAACTTCACGACTGTGCCCTTGCATTCAAGCCATTCATCCTGCAGCCACTTTGTGATCATCTCGGGCCTCTGGAAAGCCAGGCCTGTCATAAGCATCTTGTGACCAAAGGTAAACTGGCCCTTGGACAGGCGATGTCTTCTTGTCACCTTGCAGTGAACAGCCATCCCTATGGCTGACACACCAAGCCTCAAAGTCAAAGACTGAGCTAGAGGTCAATCAGTCTACACCTCTGACCTGGAACTGCTTTCCCATGTGCCCCCAATTTTCCCTATTTAATCTGAAGCCAATGTCTGTACCCTGGAGATTGCTGAAGATGCACTGAAGTGCTGTCATGTCACAGATCCATCTGTCCTTCACCGTGTCTCTACTTGGCATGCAAGGAGCGGCTGGACCTTACACAGGAGCCCTGGGCTCTGAGTGGGACGTCTAAAACCCGGTACCAATCAATACAAGATAAGAACATCCAAGAATCACAATGTGTGGACAGACAGGAAGGAGACAGAGACCCTGCAGTGACCTGGATCTCCCAGGAAATAATGTCCTAACAGGAAATGGGTTGGCCCCTCTTCATGGGGTCAAAGGGCAGGCCGGCCCTCACAGAGCTCCTGTGTGTGAGCAAAAGGCAGCCCAGACAGCAGCATCCTGCAGTCAAGGGCCACCATGGCTCTGCCAGGTAGACAGAGGAGGAAAGGCAGTGGGTGGGGGGCCACCTGCCCGAGGTGGGGAGCAATTGCCCGTGGTGGAGGCAGGCCTACTGTTTGCTGGTGACTTTGGCCAGAGCCTGGCCTCCCTCACAGGGATGGGGGAAGAAAGGGCTCCCTGCCCACTCAGCCAGGAGGGCACCTCCGGCCACACAGTAAAGCCTATTATTTGCTAATTATCACCCTTTATTTATAGCTGGCAAAGAGCCTATTCTCCAGGGCATTTGCGCCCTGTCAGATACAATCGCATCTTTTCAGTGTCTGGGGTTGAGGGTCTCAGGGGATTGCGTCACACGCCACAGAGGGGCTGTGTCTACCCCTCAGGCCCACCAGGGTCTCAACCAAGGGCCGGATGTCCACAGAAAAGGGCCAGAGGAAAAGCCAGCAGGATGCAGAATAAACTTCAATTTGGTAAGGAGGATATTTGATGTCACTCATCCCAGAAGGACGGAGTTCTTGCACAGGCTGTTGCTACACTGAGGGCTGTGTTGGATTCAGCTGCTCAGAACGTCTGAGATTTCCACCAGCTGGGCTAGCAGAATTGTCACATTTTAAGTCTCCATCCTTTTCTTGGGTGAGCCACAAATATTTCTCATCTCATACACGCAGCACCTAAATTGACTTCATCACTAAATGTTTTCGCCCATGGGTCCTCACAACTTTTCAGCTAAAGATGCACAGAAAAAATGACATAAATATATTTTTGTTGTTAAAAGAACAGATGACTGTGCGGGGGTGGGAGGGTGAGGGTGGTGCCACGTTAACCACAGGACGCCTCATCCCAGACCCCTGCTTGGAGAGATGGAGTGGGCTGGGGGGCAGAGCTGGCAGGGTTGGGAGCCGCTATGGCTGTCATGGCGAGGGGTCACAGTGGACCCCCCATGTGGTGGCCCCAGTCACCCTGGTGACTCGGTCCTCCGGAGCCACTCTACGCCCTCCATCTGCCAAGGGGCCCTGGCCCCAGACACGTGGATGAGGCCTGGTGCTGAGTGTCTACGGGGTGCATTGAGCCCCCGGTCTGAGCTTCCCCCCCCCGCCCCTGCCCCACCATCAGGGCCCTGCAACCTGGACTGCTCCTCTGCGCACCTGCAACTGCTACTCTTCCACACCACCACCAAGCCTGGGATGTCTGACTGTCCAGTTCCCCAGCCCCAAGCCCACATCCCAGGGAAGTGCTGCCGCCCTCCCCTCTCCCCTCCCCCACCACCATGCCCCTGCCTTGGGCATCAAGAACCCATCCCTGCCCTTGGACCTGAAGGAAGAGCTCAGCTTTCCTGAGAGCCACTCGACCTGGGCTGGGCTTGCAGGCATGTGCCACAACGTCCCACCCTCTCCATGGAGACACAATCTTTCTGCCCAGGATGGTCCACACAGTTCTCCTCCCAACCTCAGTTCAGCATTGCAGGCGCACCCCACTATGGCTCACCGATGGGTTGAAAGGGGGTCTTGTGACCATTTTCTGAGATGGCCTTGAACCACAACCCTCCCGCTCTAAGCTTCCCACGCAGCTGAGATTACAGGCATGAGCCAACAGTGCCTGGTGAGTTGAACTCACTGAACTTTCGCCTCTGTGGGCAGCCCAGCTCTAGGGTGGGCCTCCTGTGAGGACCCCGTTTTGGGACAATAGCGCCCTGCCCCCCACCGTCTCTCAGCACAGGGGAGAAGCCAGGACTCAGAACAACATGGTGAAGTCTGAAAGTCGGCTTCTGATCTGAGACTTCAGAGACTCCGATCTGCATTTGCGCGAAGAAGCCCCACCAAACCGCCCCTGCTGCGGGGAAACACTGCTGCTCAGAGGTCAGCACCATGTGCTGACCAGAGGTAAGCCACCCCCTCCGGGGGTG